TCGGTGACCGCCTGCAGAGAGAGGAGGGTGTTCCCTGGTTCTCCTCTCCTGCAGCTCTCCCCTGCCTGACCCTCCCAGGCTGCAGGAGGCAGCAGCTGCTGGTGTCTCCACGGTAACTTCTAAAATAAATTGCCCAATCTTTGAGATACGTTATTTTAGACTTCCAAGTAGTTCTTGAGCGCCATTAAATTATTTATAAACCCTTAATTTAGAATAGAATAAGAAATATTTCTTTCTAGTGTGCACATAATGAAAACTTGCAGTCTTTGTTTTCCAAAAGATACATTGATGTGCCGTAGATTTCCTTCTGACATTCTTGGAAATAGTTTTCATTTAACTGTGAATATTATACCATTATTGTTAACAGTAAATTTAAGTTATATTGCACTGTGTAGCTTGAAAACAATGTACAGATTTTGTAATACTCTGTTAAGATATCTTTATAAAGCTTATTCTGCTATTCTTTAATGCTCATTTTTGGGTGCTGGTTGCAATTTTACAGTTGGTTTTGGTGATAGTGTATGTGTGCCCAATTTATTAAATGAGTAGATTTTTCCCTCACCTTTCATAATATTCATTTCAGGGAAAATAACATTGTTTACTCTAAAAAGCTGCGCTAAAGGAACCTCATGTAAAGAGCTTTGCTAGAGCATTTTTAGAAAGATGAAAGACAATGCTGGATGATGAGTGATGTTTAATTTGTGTGGTGACAGCTGCTACTGTCTAAAATTTATGAGAAAAATGTACCAAGTTTCTAACAATAGTGAACCTAAAACCTGCTGTCATTCAGAAAACTTTCCACACATACAGCTTTTAACACTATGAAAAGATTTGACTAACAGTTTAAACTTGGCTTATGCTTCAAATTTTGTATATTCTTTTGCCTAAATTTCTGTGTCCTTCAGAAATAGAATGTTTCCTTCTTCTTCAACTAATTTTGTAACGTATTTAATTATACTACCAGTTTAGATATAAAAATCATGTACATTTGAATTGTACAGCAGTTTAAAAAGTACAGACCAATTGCCATAATATTTGCAAGGTTATTCATATCTTTTAATGTCACAACAGAAAATCAATTTATTTGCATATCTGTGGCTCCTGTTAGAAGAAAAGTAAAAAGACAAGGAAGCTTGGGTAAAATAAAAATGTGTCTCAAGGTATTTCCTAAAATTAATTGCAAAGCTAGTACTGAAGGCTTTTAATCAGCCCCTGAAACATTTGTTTTAATGATAAGACTTAATTACTTATGGAAAAATACTCATTTTCATTTACCCTTCATGCATTTAACCCATATGATAGAACATTAAAAATCAATATAATGAAAGATTCTATTCACGTGTACATTTATTCTTGTGCTTGGAGCCATTTGTTAATAGTTTTTATTGAAGCTATCAGCAATAAGGGACATATACCTGCCACATTACATATTGTGGAACTGAATGATTTAAACAGTGGTTACAGTTTTTTCTAGTGTAGGTTATTTAAGCATTTTCACTATTGGAAAAAATATGTAAGGCTATTTCACACTGCATCTCATAAAAAGACAGTTTTTTTTTCTGTTTTGTTATAAATTTTTTCTGCTTAAATGGCTTCTAAACTATATGTTACATTTTGAAGTCTGTTGTGATTTGGATTTGTATCAGAAATATCCCTCAAAGGACTTCATAGGTGCACTTTTGGAATGTAATCAAGCCATGGGACACTAACCTCATCAATGGATTAATCGTAAATCCATTGTGAATGTGCCTTTAAGAGGCAGGGTCTGGCTGGAGGAATCAGACGTTTGGAGGTGGGAAGGATGCCTTGAAGGATATCTACTCTATCTGTTCCCCCATATCTCCTTCCTGGCTGCTATGGGTTAAGAGTCTGCTGTGCCCTTCCTCTATGACGCTTGTGCCTTGGTGTCAGCCAACCCTGGACTAAAACCTCAGAAAACTTGAGCCAAAATAAACCTTTTATCCTTTAGGTTGCACATATCAGGTATTTTAGCCCAGCAATGGAAGAGCTGATTAATACAGAGCCTGTTTAAAAATAGAATTAAATATCTTACGTGGTGCTGCTATTTTTGAATTAAAAAGTGATTAAAAAATAAAACAAATTCAAAAATTAAGTTCAGAAAACAAAATAGTTTAATATAAATTTATAAATTTTTTTCTTTAATATAGATACTTAAAAATAGAGGAAGCAGGGGACGCAAAGCACTTTTCTTTAGAAATATTCTACTACAACAATTGGTACATCTAGGACATCTTTAAAGTTTATGAAAAATAAAATACACTTTCTTTTGACTGTTCTGTTAGAAGTATTTGTTTGCCCTAATACTTTTAAGCCAAACTACTAATCTTGTAACCTGTAGAGGCAGTAAATGACCTGCTCCACAACTCTTGAAATAAGGTTGATTATGTCAACCTTAATTCTATTTAAATTTTGCCAGTGACAAAATTTTGTGATTAAAATTTCTGTGGTTGGTTGCATCCAATCACCAAAACTGGCCCCACCTCATATGAAATAAATATTTGATCTGATTTTACCAAAAATAAGACTCATCCATTTGGTCACTTAGTTTACAAATTTTGAATAATACTGAAACATGACACATTATATTCCTAGATTATATTTCAAATTCAGTTTATGCTCTTCTCCATCTTCTTGCCTTATAATTGTCTTATGTAGATTATAGATCAAATTCTAAGTAAAACTTTTAATGCCAATGGGAAAAAAAAGAAAGCAGAAAACACTCTCCAACTTTTTTTGATCCAAAGTCAAACAGCACAAAAGAGCAAAAGAAATTTATAGGTCGATACCTCTTAGGAATTTTGATGCAAAAACCTCATGATAATATTATGACCGTATTCCTGAATGTGAAGCAGGCACATTTGTAAAAACTGTGATAGCAAAACATTTACCAATTTATAAAACCATGCAACTATTTCAACGAAGACAGACAAAATAGCGTTTTAGAAAAGAAATGAGGGCCGGGAATTCAGCTCTGTGGTGTAAACACCTGCCTGGCAAGCACAAGGTCATGAGTTTGATCTCTGGTATTAAAAAAAAAGAGGAAACAAGGAATTTAATGGTTTGCAAATGGAAAAGGGACTAAAAGACAAAGGGAGGAGGGAGAGGAGAGAAGGGGATAAGAAAGAATTAATACGTGTTGTGTATGTGCACCAATTCTCATTATGTACTGTCCACATATAGTGATAAAAATTAAAAAGAGAAATAATAACCTTGCTAGATATCAGGAACATTACGTTTAATAAAAGCTTTTAAAGTCTAAAATACCAGAAGGTGGCAAGAATATGAAGTAGTAGGAGTCTCATACACTGCTGGAGAAGAGTAAATTGAACAATATTTTGTGCATATCTCACAAGCTGAAGTTGTATTTAATTTTAAACCAACTTGCTAATTCACGCCCTCAGGGAACTACCATTCCAACTGTATGTCTCGGACCAGCTGCCATTCACAAACAACTGTCAGACAGTTGAGTTAAGCTGCCCTCAAGAAACTTACATATATGCATAAGGAGACAATTGTAAAATTGCTACCATAAAATTAATTGAAACAGTGAAAACTGGAAATAATACAAGTTTATTTCATCTAGAAAATTGATAAATTGTGGTAAGCACAACCAATGGAATTCTTCATAGCAGTTAAAGTTCATTAGCCCCACTGATACACTTTAAAGGGTAGAATTGAGAATAAAAGGTAAACTTCAGTGTAATAAATAATGAAAATTTTTATTATTGCATCAAGACTAAAACGGTACAAAATCATGCCATCACTTAATGATATCTGAAAATTGAGCAAAGATATATGAGAACACAAGTTTTATCATTTATACATGAAACATGGAATGGTGAAAACAAAATCAGAGAGGGACTGGGTTTAGAAAACAAAAAATCCCCAGGGCTTCAACTATGTTGAGCAATTTTTGAAAAAAGTCATCAGCAATCATGAAAAATAATACAAATGGATATATATTGATAGTTTCATCAGCATGCATTATAATTTTTTTGTGTTTGAAATATTTCATAAGTTTTGAATTCATGACTTACAAAAATAGCTAATAATTATCTCATTTTAGAGATGAAGGAAATGAACTATTGAGAAAGTAAAAGCTTTAGTGAAGTCTATTCCACTGGTCCTAGAAGCCATGTCCCTTGATTCCCAAACTCCTGAACTACATTGACCTCTAAAGAAGAGTTACAAAACACCTTCAGGAGTATTTTCACTAATATCTTCGATGACCTTCACCTTGTTTGGGCAAACGGATGAAATTAACAGATTAACCAAGCAACTAATTTCAAGACCTGTACACTTCTTCCGAGAAGACAGACAATTCTAAGCAAAATAACACAAGGACTGCAGGATTCTTTGATCTTAGTCCCTTTGTTTGAAGATTTTGCACTTCTGCGTTCCATCATTCCAACAAGGAATAGGCAAAACTAAACCTAAATGTTCGAAGTAGTGACAAAACTATGGCTAAATGGCCCTCCCTGAAGTAAAGTAAGAAATGTATGACATGCCACCAAAGGCCACAGCTTCTCACCTCAGAATACTTCTTCACTTTGAAACAGACTTCCCCACAGACTTGACCGTAGGATACATATGCAAACTGTTTCAGGTTTGTTTTATTATGAAAAAATTTCATAATCAAATAATAGAGAATAACAATAGTTTTAACAGTGTATACCATTATCTGCAAAGTAGTTATTCAGAGTACAAGACATAAACTAAAAAGATTCATTTAAAAAAAAGATAACACAAGTCTTTCTTTTCAACCAACTAGGATCAACCTGTAGTATAAATTAAGCCAATTAACATGTATATTGAAACTTTTTTAAAGAATGGAATTTCTAGTTTGGGTAAGAACTTGAACTTCTCCCTACTTCCTATTTATCTCTGATCTATGTGTGTGTGTGTGTGTGTGTGTGTGTGTGTGTGTGTGTGTGTTTGTGTGTCTCATATAGGAAAACCATAATTCTCTTTTACCATACCTTTCTTTGAGAATCTTCTGGAATTTGATTCGCATCAGTTTGCCAAGCGCTCTAGCTTGGAATAATGTGAAGACTGTGGATAGTCTCTTGTCTCTTTCTTCTTCCAATTTATTCAAAAAGCTAGCTTTTAAAAACACCTTAAAGGAAGCAAGTCAGATATTAGTCTCACTCATCCTGAGTATCATGTAAATATCAATGCTATTTTTTCTCAGGTTTTATTTAATATATAAAACCAATGTCCTGGACAATATGATATTCTAAATCTAAAATTTTCAAAGGATATTTTATTTAATCTTGTGGTAGATTGGCTGCTTAATATCTTTATCTTCCCTCTTATTTTTTTTCAAATATCTAGAGAGCATAGTTTAAGTTCTAAGTGCCTAGACACACAGTGCTCCAAAGTGTCTGGAAGGGGACCATAAATATTTTCTCTAATGGTCACAGCATCAGTATCTCTAGGTAATGTAAAATCTTACAGGTTATTCTTAATTTTTAACAACTTCTTACGATTTTAAGCAAACAAGAAACATTTAAAAATTAGATCATGATGTGGCCCTTGTGTTACAGTTTTCTGGATTTGCTCTAGAAGAAAATACCTTTATGTAGGTCATCAAAGGGATGACATAAGTTTTTCAAAATAATTAAGACCAACACAGGTGAAAGGAATGAGATTGCTGGGGTCCATATATCGTAGAAACATACAGAGTGCCACCATAGAGGTACTTTGCTCAATCCTGAGAGTGAGGAGAATCCCCTCAACGTTTGTACGGTCTCTTCTCAGATGCGTAAGCCTAAGTGTGAGCATGCCCTTCATATATGTGCTGTAGGACCCTCACTCATTCGGTGTGAGTTCTGGCCTTGGTGAATGGTGCACAGCAAAAGTAACTAAACATAATGGCACCACTACTGAAAATCACTGGAAACATTAAACAAAAACACTAGTTTCTAGGCACCCAAAATGAATCAAGAAACATTTTATAAGCAAATCATACAGAGCTCTTGGTCTATGATTTCTTCACTTTGGTTTCTCCTATGTATCTTCATCTATAGTGATATAGATGTCAGAAGAAGCTCCCTCGTGTTGACTACCAAGTAAGAGTAAATCTGTGAGAAGTTTCACAAAATACGTGAGTCTTCTAGATAAAGCAGAATGTAGAGAATCACAAAAGAGCTTTGGTTTACTTTTCTTTTTTGTTTTTGGATAGTTAGGTTGACTTTAAAGTTGTTAAATAATTCAGATAGTCTTCTAAACTTTATTTCCTAAAACAGTACAGTAGATGAATTAGTTTATAACCATTTAACTCCAGAAGGCTCATATTCATTTTTCTTTCTGTGATTTATATAAATTTCTTAATATTATAAGGCTGAGCCAGTATTTTTATATGTCACACATTTGCTTAGATAACTAATTGTAAAAAATGTAAATGTAGTTGAACTAAGGCTTAAGAAGCATTGGATATTCTTTTGCAAATAGCACTGAAGTTTCCACTTTAAAATTAACTCATTCATCTCATTTCTGGCCCTGAGATACAAAGAACACCTTATTTTATTATGTAAAGATTCACTGATAATTTGAGATACTCTAGCTTTTTTCCAGATACATTCCTTGAAGTTTCTTATTTACCTTAGTGATTCCAAATTGGTACTGACTATGGTCTCTCTCCAAGGAACCAAGTAGTTCTTCAGCTGCTTTTCTGTTGCTCACAAACTTGCTCTGTGAAAAGATCTTCGGGTTCAGAATGCAGTACCTAAGTTAAAACAGGATCAGGTAATCTTATGACTCAAATGAAGATTAATCTAGACCAGCGAGGTGAAAGACAAAACAGAAATTTGCCTCTCTCAAAAATCTGCCCAATTTTCACAGAACTTTTGCTAATAATAATGCAAACATAAGCAATAATTCCTACTATTAGTATAATTTTTGTATTGTTTTACAGATCAATTCCATTTAATTTCTGCTCACCTAGGAATTGAGTGATTGATGAGAAAAACAAAGACAGGAAGGCTAGCCTAAGTATTTCTGCCATATGTGTAAGGAAATTGAAGAGCAGAGACATGACATTTCTTTTCCAAAATGTCTTCACACTAATAGTGAGCTGACAAAAAATAAGAAAAATTCTTTTTAGTTCCTACACCGATATGGTTTTTACTCTATCACATCTTGATCAAATTCTTGACTAGAATTTACACTTTTAGAATTTGGAAAACTAAAACAAAGACTCCTCCGCTGCCTTCTTCCACAAACACTGCTAGTTTCTTTCCTTTTGTAGGTTTTCCAGGGAAGGAACAACTTACTAGAATGGCAGCGACCATTAAGATACACAGTATTTCAGAGGTGCGATTCAGGTCCCGCATCGTTGTCCTGTATATATTTCAACTATATGTGCATCTATTAACCATTAATTGAGATTTAAGGATATTAGGGCCGTGTATCAGACTTAAGGGAAAATAATAAAAGAACTCTGTCATCATATAGCATTATTATATCTCACCACCAAAACATATTGATTTGCAATCTGAAGGGCACTAAACAAACAATGCATCCCTAAATAGCGGGAAAGAGAAAAACAGAATGGACTGCCTCGGGCTTTTTGGCTTCTAGAATGTATGTTTACCTTTGTTTAAAATCATCATAGGGCATTCTGTTTGGAAAACCTTCGCAGTATATTCTAATCCCTTCCAAGACACCATTACAGCGCAGCTGCTGCAGAACGAAGGAAGAGTCTATTACACCTGAAAAAATGAATCACATTGAGTCTGTGCCTCAAAGCATTATTAGCCCAGATTTTGTTCTAACAGCTCCCTCTACAGTTAATAAGTAGTAGCTTGATTTAGGTGCACTGTCTCTGATAGGTCATCGGGGTTCCTTACTCTGAGCCTGATAGTAGTCACAGTATTCACCCAACTACCCAAGAATATTAAAATGTGATTCACCAAAAATTCCTTTAACATGTCAAGCCCTTAAGTTCACAGTTAAGTACGGCTATATAGAGAAATGCTCCTGGATAAAGATGCTTCATTTTTGCTGGTATCATATTCATTTCCTAACCAGAAATGAGGTGCACAGGGTAATAATATGAAAAGAAACTGCTATCTCCAAGTAGAGTAAATGGGACAAAAGAGGCAACAAAAAAGAAAGGGAAACCCCATAAAATTCTCTTTACAATTTTGTCTAGGAGAACGTGGCCCCATCCTGGCCTTCATTCTCTGCTTATTGTGTTGACAGCATTTCCATTTTATTCTATAGCATAAGCAATCTTCTTTCACCTCTTTGTTCATCAATAGAAGCCTTTTAACAACTATCAGGTGTAGTCTGTGATAGAATCTCTTGGAAAACCACCAAAAGAACCGCTGTATCTGGCTTTCACCAAGTCATCTGGAAGAATACAAGAAACACAAAGGCCAGATCTGCTACATCTAGCATCACAGAAGTGAGCTTAGGCAAATGTACCTGAGCTTCAATTCTTTTCAGAAACAGAAATAGATCATGTATAATAACAAGGGGGGGAGCAAAGTTTTCAGACCCCTTAAAATCAAATGCATCTATTTCTATTAGATACATATGAAGAATTGTCTTGATTAGAGGATGAAGATTTTCTTGAAAATCTACTGAAATTAGGGTTGACTCGGTGGAAGGTAACTAATAGGTAACAGAACTGTTCCAAAGTAGCGAGAAATAATTAGATTCCTTGCTAGATGGAAGCACAGTCCGCAGATGTATTCAGAAATCCAGCAGAGGGTTGGTGGGAATGTGGCTCAGTGGTAAAGTGCTTGCCTAGCAAGATTGAAGCCCTGGGTTATTTACACAGACTAAAAACAGCAGAATCAGAAACCCAGATAACTGACAAGAAACAGTGAAGCAAAAACACATACCCATGGATGAAAATGAAATATTTACAATATAAAAACTGCAATTATTATATCATTGTGTGGCATCAATCTTTCCGAAAACAAGCCATAGACAGTCCAGATTGGGTCCTTAATTATAACAAGTTAATATAATGCAGGGCATACAAAGCTGCAGAAATGAGAATCAGCAATATCTGGTTTCATACTCCAAGGGTGGTTAGTGCCCTAAAGACTTAAGTGCTTGTCATGTGGGCCTCTGTGAGGCTCTGTGGAGGGCTCTCACTCCACAGAAGGCTAGGAGTCTTCAAACTCATGATGTAAAGGGAAGCAATCTATGCAGGTGATGTCAGGAAACCATTGTTTTAAAAAATAAAAGCAGGAAAAACACATTCGCCACCAGCTTCCTATTCCATCACCACTCTAACACCATTAATTCACAAAAAAAACAATCTGCTGCTCAAAAGCACACAACTAAATATATAATAGTTATTATCAAGGAAAGAGACATTAGTACTGGAAAGGAAGACTAAGAGGGAGTGCTTAACAATTAAAAATGGATTAGAAGCTATCCTCATGGTAAACAGGTGACTCAGACCAAACAACATCCTTATGCCGAAATACATATCTCAGCCCCCTAACTGACTACTCAATCCAATTTTACTATATTCTGCTCTTCTAAACACAGCATAGGAGCTCATTCACTTAACATCCAATTTAAGAGAAATTTAAATGGAAATATCAAGTATTCTGTTATTACCCAATTGAACCTGCTTTATGAAATCCTTCTGTAGTCCACTTGAATCTCAATTCAAAAGTAGCTTCAAGGAGGTTCCAAAGACCTCATATTAAGCTTAATTTCTTTTTTCTACCTGAAAATATATGCTTATAGAAAATGAACCAGTAAATGATTCATAAAAAAGACACTCGACATAGCTGAAATAAGATATGTTCCCTAGGGTGGAATAAAAGCATACCTAGTTCTTACCTGGTATTTTGCTCACATTGGGATTTATACATCTCACAAAATGAGGTGTTGTTGATTTCAGCTTAATCATCAATTTATTGAGGTTTTCCTAAAATGGAGACCATAATAAACACAAAGTCACTTTGGAATGTCATTAAAATGTCTTATAAATGTATCTAAGTCTTTCCATCTCATACCTGACTCGTACACCAACAGTAAAAAGATGAATTCTGCATTATCCCTTGCTTATCAAAAAAGCATTATTTCTTTCCTATGACAAGTCAATATTTATCTGACACATAGCACAGTTACAGATGCATTTGACCTGTTTTGAGTTTGACAGTGTTAACTAATGGCTAAGCAATAAAATGGCTTGGAAAAAATAACTTTTTCAGTTCTCTACTCATAGGAAACCTTTATTTTAGGTCAGCTTCTCTAACAGCAGGGGATTTAAACTCAAAGATGTGTTTGGATAGTGAAGGAAGCAGAGTAGGTAAAGGGACAAAAATGGAAAGGGTAACAATGCTGACTCGGCTCCAGTCTGATCCCTGCGTGACCTGTGAGCACAAATATGCAACGATACAACAGCTAATCCTCTCTTGACGCAAGGGCGAGGCCTGGCTTCCAGTCTGATCAAAGCCCATTCTAACCTGGCAGATGGTATGAGCCAATATTTACATCAGCTGGAAGATGGGTGCAGGACTGAGAGAGGGAAGCTAACTAGGGCACTAACAGTGTCCTCTAGAGTTTTGAGTTAGTACCTAGATAACCTTCAACATTTACACCTTGGATAACTTCAGATACTTTATTTTTATTTAGAAATGTGAAATATCAAATAAGTAATAGTGATTGCACAATGGTTAATATATAAACAGATACAATTAAAAATTACTTTATGAAGAGATGCAACCAGTTGGAGTGAAGCTCCTTTCTTGTGTTTCTTCTCCCCAAACTGTAGAGCTTTAAAAAATAAAAGAAGATATTTTAAAAGCTTTTGCTTGATGGAAATACAAGTTTACAGAAGTTCTAAAAACAATATGACAATACCTACCAAAGTCGTCAAAAATATGTATACCTCAACACAAAGTATCTATGGAGTTGGGTGTGGTGGTGCACTCCTGTAATCCCAGCACTCTGGAGGCTGAGTCAGGAGGATCACTGCAAGTTCGAGACCAACCTGTGCTACAGTGTAAGCCCAAGGCCAACCTGGACTGCATAGCAAGACCCTGTCTCAAAAAGATACACACAAAAAAAAGTGTATGGAATTTTCCCTTAAGGATATAATCAGATAATTGTGAAAAGTACTCCTGAAGCATTTTTCATTGCAAAGAGTCAAACAAGAATAAAATTAATCAACAACGTCCATCAATAGGAACTTTGTAATTAAATTATGAAAAAATATCTACATGAGGAAACACAGTGGTGCCTCGCATCATGATTTCTTTCCACAATGCTGGCCACAAACTGAGGAGAAGTGAATCAATCGACTTTTAAATTGATGCCATGGATCCATATTACTAATATAGACAGATTTCCAGGATTTACTTAACAGAAAAGCAGTTTATAAAACCTATACTTTGACAACTATGATCCTGAGGGTGTACACAATTTTTAAACTTGAGTGAGTTAAGAGTTACTATAAATGTAAAACAACTTTGAGAGGCATATTAATAGCTAATTGCTATTTATATAAGATCATAGCTCCTTTTTATGTTCCTCTTTTTAGGTTTTCTATATTATCTGGTGTTTCTCACAATGTATATTGCATTTATAGTTTACTTAAAAATTAAGTCTACTCTTTTATTATTTTTCTTTGAACAAAAGAAACCATGCTAAGCCAGACTGTCTTACAAACTTGTGCAGTGCTAAATCACTAAAAGGTACAACAACAAAGACAAAATCCATAAGAAATCTGGAGAAAATGGGCCAAGTATTAACATAGAAAACTAAACAGTGTTCGCTGGGCCTAAGCAGCCACTGTGGGGAGGCAGATGTCTTGAGACCTAAATGCTGATGTCCTTTTGAGAGGCCCCAGGTCCTTCATTGACCTTTTAGTATTTTACGCTTTTCCATAAATAAAGAGGAATAACACTGCATTCTGTAATTTTTTTTTTTAAATCTGCAACTCTGGCTTAAAGTATTTGATTTATTTGGCTATTCTAGGAGAAAATATGGGCCATTACAGGCAATTTAACATTTAGATGAATGAAAACTTGGAGGCAACTATATTCAGGAATATATTAAAGAAAAAGATAAATAAAAAGGCATAAAGGCACTCTAGAAAATTCTCCTCTAGTTCCTAAGAACATAGCACACATCCTGGAGAGTCAGAAGACAATTTTCTTTCTATTCTCTGCCCAACCCATTCTTTGCGCACTTAAGATCAGAAAATTACTCAATGGGGAGCCCTAAAGCTTATGTGATTACTACCTAACAGATTTCTCAGAGGCATTTTAGAAGACATTAGAATCAGGCAAATGAACTCCCTGAAGATTAGCAGAGTTCAAACACAGTCTTTCCATTTCTCTACCTCCTCTTGTGGCAGGCCCAGGGGATTTCAACCAGGCTTCTGAATTATGCATCATGTGCTGAAGATTCTGGGGAGGGCTAATTTCTCTTTCCATTCGCTGACCATGTCAATCAGGAGTCCCAAATAGTCCCAAAAGGAATTGGAAGTTAACAGGGAGGGGAGTGTAAGGCAAATGGGGAGGAGGGAGGATGTCAGGGAGCGAGAGTCCACGCCTCACTTAAAGAATACCTGAGAGACTCTGCCCCACTGCAGAGTGAATCTGAACACAGGAGGATCAAGTTATTCATTTCCCCACAATTTCCACTTCCCAAAGCAAAAAAGGAAATCCTCAGGCACATGTGAAAATCCTTTGACTATTTTTTTAAACTTGTTTGGACCAAATAAAACATGCTGGAATCCCAGGTAATACTCAGCTGCCAATTGTATCTTTGCTGTGTGATGGAGAACTTGCCCCACTAATCCAGCCAGGATTAACCTTAGTGATAAGGTTAGTTTTTAAATTGATCAATAAATATCTAAAAAATGCCTCCTAAGCAGACATTCCCTGCATGCCAGAGATTATAAATGAATAAGACAGGTAAATTGGTGATAGTCCCTGCCCTCAAGAAGTTTCTACTAACCACAAGTGCACAGAGTGTTGTGATGGAGAGTTCCAGGATACCTGGGGACATATATTTAAAACACACACGTGCGTGCGCGCGCACACACACACACACACACACACACACATACATACATATGCACTGATGTGGTAGTTTAGCTAAAATCTGACTCCATATATTTTAAGTTTGGCTTGCAGGTTTCTCTGTGCATAATGCACTGTAGCTTACTTGATGTAACAACACTGAATCCTACACATCAAACAAATAGCTAAGTCTTATCCAAACACCACGAGCAAGCTGTTCAAACTGTGCTCTGTCTTTATACTCACTCCCATTTTCTGCATGCCTTTTCCTTTAGGTAAAAATACAACCTACTTATATGGTGGATTAGCATATTATAAACCATTTTTTGGATGGTTCAGATTTTTGCCTGCTCCTACAATTATAAGTAATACCAATTAAGATTCATAAAACTAGATTTGTTGTAATTTTGTCACTTACCCTATATACTTGGGACTTATTATTGTCCCCAAATCATTCATTAAAACCTGTTTCGCTTGGTTTTGTTTGGTTTCCTCTTTGTAACTAGAAGTAGAAGAAGGTAAAAGCTGGCCAGAAATGAATTCTTTAAAACATGTGTCTCATAGTACACAGATAACATTTTCCTGAAAAACCAAGCTGAGAACAAAAAGGCTAATATAGGGGGATGATTTCAGGCCATAGGAAGCAGAAATAGCATCACAAGAGAAGCAAGAATTTGAACAAAGCATGAGGTATTAATGAGTTCCATTAAGAAGCTGGAAAATCAAAGAATATTGACTCACCACTGTCAGTACCAATGTAATTTTCAAAAAGGCTTGCCAGGAATCTATTGGAAGATTTCTGAAATACAGCTACCACTGTTTCATTAACAAGGTCTTTGTTCTTTTCAAGCCAACCATTGATGTTATAAGGCACCTTTGGAAAGACATGCATTTTGTAAAAAAGGGGAAAAATATGTAAATTAACGTAGGAAATTGTGTGTTCCTGGAAAGAAAAATCACAAAATGTGCTGGTTCCTTAATTTTAAATAAGTTTTAAGTAATCATGCTAAATAATACTCCAGAAATTCATAATGCTAAAGAAAGAGATTTTCAAGCTTTACCATTTATAGGGTCAAAAAAAACAAGAAGGATGGAGGAAGGAAGGTAGAGACAGGAATAACAGGAGAGAAAGAGGAAGAGGAGGAAAAGGGATAGAGGAGGGAAGATCAAAAATTATCTTTTGAAAAATAATAATGCATCCCAGTAGTTCTGCCTGGGCAATCATTGATTAAATAACCTAAATGCCTTTGACACATAGTAAGCACTAGCAAACTTTGGCAACTATAATGATATTTACTATAAACATCATTACACTTAATATTCAAAGTTATCAAAGGAAAGAACTAAAAGACTTTCCTTTTAGTTGACAGTTTCCTTTTAAGGGACAGTTGACAGGTCACTTTTGCAATGACATATTATTTTATCCTTTATCAGATTTCTATCTCTTCCATGCAGAACCACTAGAAGCAGAACGTGCACACACGCACACACACACACACACACACACACACACACACACACACACCAGGAGAGAGAAGAGAGGCAATGAAAATCATTAAAATCATTGTGGACCATGATTTGGAGACCATTGCTTCACAATGAATTTTTCTTTATGGGAAAATAAATAAAAACAAAAATCCTCTATATAAATATCAGTTGAAATAATTAATTCACACACTGATTTAAAAAGATAAAGAAAAAGCATGACTTTGATAGTGTTTGTGTCTTTCTGTAGCTTTCCTGCTCTGAGTCTATTTGAGACTTTTGAACTCTATGCAATGAAATGCTGTTTCTCGTGTGAGTATGGTCTCAAGTTGCACACACTGACCTATAAAAGCCTCTAGTTTATCTTTGTTTATAGCCAAATAGCACTCTGTTGTATAAAAATATCACATTTTTAAAATCTATTCCTCGATTGATGGGCATTTGAGTTGTTTCCAAGGTATAGTTATTACAAACTGTGCTGCTATAAACATGGGTGCACATATACCACTGTGGTATGATGTTTTTAATTCTTCTGGGAAAATACCCAGAAGAGGAATAGCTGGGTCGAAGGGAACTTCTAATCCTAACTTTTTAAAGAATCTCACACGGATTTCCACAATGGTTGTAGAAGTCTACACTCTCATCAACAGTGGAGGAGGGTCCTTTTTCCCCACAGCCCTGCCAGCACCTGTTATTGAATGATTTATTGATAACAGTCATTCTTTCTGAATTGGAATTAATCTCAGTATTGTTTTAATTTGCATTTCTCAAATAACCGATGATGTTGAACATCTTTTCATGTATTTGTTTGCTATTTGTATTTCATCTGAGACATGTATTCATCTTGGATGCCCATTTTTGAATTGGGTCTTTGAATTGAGGGGCCCTGATTTGTTTCAACTCTTTATATGTTGTAGATATATGTTCTTTGAGGGGCAGTGGCTAAAACATTTTCACACTGGGTGGGTTGACTTTTCATTCTGTTGGTGACTTCTTTTGATATGCAAAAGCTTTTTAATGAGATCCCAGTTGTTGATTATGGGTATTTTGTTTACTGACTGGTAAAAGACTCACTATCTTTTATTTGGAATTTATATGTATTTTGTTTATCTTTTCATTTAATTTACGTTTTCCTTAAATATTATCTGAGGACTTTGAATGCATTTGAAAGAGAATCAAGAAAATTCAAGGTCCAGAGGTAACTTACCACTCCTCCATAATGGACAAGTTCAAAATGAGCTTCATGTTTCTCTTTCTTATCAAGTTTGGGCTCCTGGAAATAAACCGACTTTCCAAAATGATTGTCAAAGAGTTTTGTCTTGAAAGTCATGTCTGTAGCCTTAGCAAGCATACATTCCTCTTCAAGGATGGAAAGGAGGCCCATGGGCTGCTGGAAAAGCAAAATAATGGCTACATTTTATAAACACCAGAAAATTTTTGGTAGAAGATCAGTATAAACCTTTTCTCAAGAACATAATGTGCAACCAGTGAGAATATTCATTGCATATAATTAGCTGACTACCCATTTTCAAATACTTATTAAGTCCCTACAGTTTAATACTGACACCATCAGAGCTGATGGTGTAGCAGGGAATTATATACTGTCCTCACAGTGTTTACATCCTAGTGGACCAGACAGACAATAGGCCAGTAAACAAAAACTAGAAAGAAATAATTTAGTTGCATGTAAGTCAATTTAAAAAATCATGCAAAGTAAAGAGACAGAGAATGACCAGGGGCCGCTCTTGTCTTTCTTAAATCTTTCTTCCCCTTCCAGACACCAGGTCGAAACCCAGCAGATTAAATGTAGGTTGCTTTGATTTCTCAATTGTCAATCTCAAAATCCTGTCTGGCTCCCATTACTTTAAAATAAAGTCTGTGTTAAAAGCCCTTCGCAGTGTAACCCAGCCTTTCCTGTTCTAGGTGCTTCCTCCTGCATGTTCCCTTCTTCAAATAAACTACCTGCAATCTCAGACCACGTCCTTTATTTTTCTGTCTGTGTGTTTCCTCTTCCTGTTCTCTTGCCTCTTATTACCTTGTCCCTTTCACCTGCTAAAATTTTAGCCATTCCTTAAGATCTAGCCCAGATTTTACCTTTCTGCCTAAAGGTCTTTTTAGATTCCTAAAGGCAGAGGCAACTTCTGCTCTTTGGATTACTTTGTCTCCTCCTTTTTTGTCTGTTCCTTTTATTATATTTATAATGCATGAATGATTTGAAATACAATTATACATTTATTAGTCTTACAAATCCTTATTTAGTTGGATACTAAAGGCAAAATCTCTTTATAACAAATGTTTATATTTACTACAGTATTTGTCTCAAAATTTTATACACAATGTCTTGGATAAAGCACAGTGCCTACACATCCCTGAGTAATGACTTTGTGTGTGTCTGGGGGCGGGGTACCTGGGATCAAACTCCCAGCCTTGTGCTTGCCCGGCAGGTGTTTATGCTACTGAGCTCCTGAGTAATGACTTTTACTCCCTGTTAGCCTGTGGAATCATTCAGACATGCCTATCACACCCTCTTGTGACTACTTAGGCCACCCCACTTTACTCCTCTAGTAAGCCCTGCATCCCACAGTCCCTGCTTATTAACTTTATTTTGAGTGCAACTCCCATGAGGCCCAGCATGGTCTAGGCATCTACTTCCCTGGGGATATGAGCACGTATGACTAACAAAATATTGATCTTAGCTGTGCAGTGTTCCATGTCATATGTTCAGCCATTCCCACAACTGTAGAGCAGGAATCCTGCCCTTGTTAGTGGGGTGAAGAGGGAGTGTGCACGACAAATAGTGGCTAAACCAATTTAGTTGTTTAATAATTTTTAAAAACTATAAAAGTCTTGGTTTTAGTGCATCTTTCCAATTATAGCAGAAGTCCCTTAAGTAACTAAAGTGGCAGAATGATTCCTTCTGGGGTTTACACTCCTCATAACCCTCAGTACAGTAGGTCCAGAGCTGACTAAAGTGTAGTTCCCAGCGCACTTGTAGGTAATTTACACGGGAACACTGACACTTGTTCAGATGTGAAGCAGCTTCAGTTCCTGAATCTGAGGTGCTTTGCTTTTTGACAACAGACAAAAAATGAGAGTTGACAACAACAACAAAAATCACAGTTTTGTGCTTAAAGAAAATACTCATGTGCATACAAGATACAACTAGAGATAAACATAAGTAGTTTTATACTAAACATTTCCAAAATAGTATCCCCATACTACTTGGCTTGGGAGACAACGACATTTATTTAATGCTGAGATGGTACCAGGATTAAACTATGTTAGAACTTTATTTGGAATATTTGATATCATACACGGAAAATTCCAGCTCTCTGATGGTTTATGGAAATAATCAACTATTCAGGCAAATAAGGGGAATAATATGATCCAGGAAGTAGCACAGTTTGGACTCAAAATCTAGAAAGACAATAAATACTGGAATAAATTTTCTCTTGAGGCGGATACAAAATTCTAAAATCTTATCCCAATCCTTTGCAGGAATTTTTAAAAACTGATTTATTGGAAGAAGTGTATAACTTTTCAAGCTTACTCCACTGAAGGAGAAACCCATTTTTTATCTGAATAATCTGGGACATATGTGTTAAGAAATAATACAAGTAATCTGTTTACCAGTGTCTTGCATGTAGTTATAACGATACAAATTACACAAACGTTTCAACATATGAATTTTGACTCAAATTCTAAACAAACTAGAATGTTGGAACAGATTTTTTCACAGAATATAGATGGAAGGAGGTCACTGTGAACTTGAAGACCAAATTAATAATTAAAGCTAATGTTAAAATGTATTTTATTATTTCAGTATGATAAACTTTTTGAAACTTTAAAATATAAAACACTTATGAAAGATAATCCCTTTTCCTTATATATACACAGAGTATGTGTGCCTTAAAATATTTTATTCTTATGGGTATACTTTAGTTCTCTTGAATTTTAGAATTCTCCATGATTCATTTCTTTGCAAGGGGCAACTCTGGTAGTTAATGCTAACTACAAGTTTTCTCATAGAGCCTAAATCATGGAATGGATCTTTTATAAATAAAATCTTCTCAAAAAACGTTTTGCTATTCATTTATCTGATTTGAGTCTCTCTGAAATTATTCCTAAGACAATAAAAACCTATCTTTGCTTCTATCATCTGGTCAGTAATCTTTTCTCATTTTATCTATCAGTAGAAAATACAACAGGAAATTACAGCCATGTTGTTAGCGTATTACTTGGAATAAGTGAGACTGACATAAATGGCAATAACCTTCAGATAAAGTAAAAATCAATACCCCAGCCCTACCATGATCTGAACAATCTCTGTATCCCAACTTTCTGTTAGAAAAGAGCATTTTTATCATAAAAGTAAGCAGATATCATGCATCACTATGTCCAGAAGTTAAATCTGTCCTTATAAGAACCTGTCTCAAGATCTTCTCCTTTTAATCTGAAGACCACACCTTTTATAATGTTACACAGCGTATGCCAGATCATGGTTGGTTGGTTATTTACTGCTATTTTTAAACAGCTCATGGTGGGTCCATTATCCTGTTTTTTCTTATCTTGTCTTTCTCCCAGGAAGTTCACTAGTTATAAAAATAAGTAAAAGTAACATGATATTCATTTGTTAGGAACAGCAGTTATTTTAGACAATGATTTAGTTTCACCTAAAACTTAAGAAATAAGATTGATACGACACTAGTTGATTAACTCTGAAGCCTGCAAAGGACAATGACAGGTCAATCCCTTAGCTCCTTCCTGACAAGCTTGTAGAGAACAAAATGTGACAGTATAGCAGGAGAACTTGCAAAAGATATAGACTTTGGACTGTCCACAACTATCTCTAATATTCATTGCAATTCATGATTTTAGCAAGAAACAAGGAGCATGTAGCTGACGGCGTACCACCATGATTGCTCCCATGGACGAAGCTGCAGTAAAGACCATGCAGAACTCCTCCAGCCAGTGCCATTCATCTTTCCCAAAGCACAGGGAATGATTTCAGAGTACAAGCAACATCCCTAAATGCAGAATCCTGCATTGCATCTAATTTATCAATAAGCCAAGCAAGATTGTCATGAATTATTTAAACTAACTGCAAAGTAGTGGCCTTAAAGATTTATAGCAGTTGTTTGTTTACATGCTAATGTATCAACTTTCCTTAAGCCTCTCTACGTCTACTCATTCACCTTCTATTAATCAGCCAGGCCCTGTAGTGCTCACATTTTCAGCTCTGTGACTTTCCTAGTTAAGAGCATCACCATTTTTTAATCTCTTCAAATATCCTCATTCACAAATGGTGGAGGCTTTGCTAGCTACAAATGTTGGAGCAACAGTCTGCATTAAAACTGATGGAATAGGCAGTTGATGTCAGAGCGTAGCTAAGATACCATGGGTGCTTCCCACAAAGACCATTAAGAGCAAATTTGCAGGGCTTTCCTGTCCCCTTTCTAATCCCTGATTCTTGATATAAGTTAACATGGCATGCAGAGACAAATTTCCTTAAGTGAAAATGGACAAAGTAAAAAAAAAAAAAAAAAAAAAAAAAACATATATTACCTTCTCAATGAGATCTATGCAGGCTTGCAAATCTAGACCAAAGTCAATGGACACCCAGTCAATACCTTCTTTCCTGTATTCCTCTTGCTCCAGAATAAACATGTGATGATTAAAAAACTGCTGTAGTTTTTCATTGGTAAAATTAATGCAAAGTTGCTCAAGGCTGTTACACTTCAATATGTAGGAAGAAGAGATAAAAGAGGGTCACCTCCTAGAACATATATGAAAGATAAACCATAACCATAATCATGTGGCACCAAATAGATCAAACCAGTTTTAAAAAGCCAAATTAATTTTGGCTCGTTTGGGCATATCTAGAAAATAAGATTATTAAAGTAATACAAAATAGAGTTATAATACAGAATTACAAAAACATTTATTTACTTCTATTCACCTTTCAGGCTGAATTAAGAAACTAAGTTTTTAACATTATAGAGTATAATAATTGTTACTATTAATATTACTTATAAAATTATATCTTTTATTATAATATATCTTTTCTGACCAAAATGGCTCCTTGAGTTTTGACTCAGTAATTCTTATAATGCCTCGAGCTTATTTTCCCACGTTCAAGTCAAATTTTCTAAACTCATAAATATGGATTGGCTTCACTCTTACCACAAATACTTACTTCAAGAATTTCAAAACCAGTGATGTCAAGAATGCCAATGAAGAACTGCCTTGACAGCTTAGCATCCAGAACTCTGTTGATTCGAGCCACCAGCCACTTAAATATGCTTCCATAGACTGACTTGGACAGGGCTCCAAGAGCACAGGTTGCCTAGAAATCACAGCAAAAATATTCCTTTATCTGATAGCAGTGTTCAGTTTAATCTTGAGCATTGTGTATCAGTAAACACCTTCTAGTAAAATCACAGTGTACTTATTGACCTTCTGTGGTTCTAGCATTCTGATGAATAAAATGAAAAGAAAGAAAGGAGTAAGAGAGGAAAGGAAATGAGAGAAGAGACAAAGAAAAAAGAAAAGAGAAAAGAGACAGGAAAGAAAAGAAGACAAAAGAAGAAGAGAAGAGAAAAGGGCACGTCTAGGAGAAAGTCCTATCAAAAGCGTGGGTGACAAAATTATGTTCCCACTACTAAAGGCCTAACTGGTCTGGAATAGTGTGTGCCAATGCACTATAAAGGCTTGCAGTTCAAAATGTGGTCCTAAGTCCTACAGCAAGGGCATAAAAGATCTATAAAAGATACAAATGTTCAGCTAAAGCACAGTCCCAGACTGACTGAACTGGACAAATCTGACATCAATCCCTGCTGCTTTCTATTGACAAAAACTTTTTTGATCAAACTTTAATTAGGCTCCTCTGACCTAATATTGACTTCTTTTTGGCCCATCTAACCTAGTTGCAGCAAAACTCTTGCTTTAGAGAGAATCCCTTTAGAAACAATGTCTCCAACTTGGCCTGTGATTGTGTTCCTTACACCCTACTTTTCATGTGTAAATTCTTAGCTTTTAGAAAGAAACCTGGTAAGTTCAGCAAGAATTCCCCTGCCCCTCCTGCCCCCTCTTAATAATTTTCCATCTAATGTCGTGTAAATCCCCTTGTCTTCATTGTATTTGGACTTCAGCCCCACATCTCTCCTCTGTTGTAATACCTTTGTTGCAATTGTGCTCAGTAAAATCCTCATTACCATTTTAACAAGTACCAGAATAATTCTTTTTCTTTGTCACTGTGCACAATAAGATTTGCAAAGTACTAATATAGCAGACTAAAATCTGGCAATCCCTAGACTTTGCTCTGAGGCTCCTGTTGTCGCTGCTTATGAATGGTGTAACATTTGGCATCTGTAGCCCTGGATTCCGTCTCTTGGCTATAATAGTTTCCCATGTGGCCTTTCCTGCCATGAATGGAGAATGATTGTTTGCCACATCAGTCTGATTTAGGTTCTCCTACTATCAAAATAAGGAAGTGTGTCTCTTCCCTGGAGGGCCGAGGCAAAGGCTCTCACATAACCTACTGGGGGTCTTCAAACTCTGGGACCTGGATGGTGCTACACAAATTCAGCTTTTGCAATTCTGCTTCCACAGTTTAAAAGTGCTTCTGTAGTAGTAGATTTTCCAAAGACTTCAAGTAGGAGTGATTCTTTCTGGATACTCTCCAAGCCTGGAAGCAGAATGTGCTCCAGTATGCAATACCTGTCATATCCATCTTCCTGCCAAGGAGAAGACATGCAACAGGGCAATCTGGTGGTGATTTAGTTGTGCTAAGTCTCCTAATCTCTGATCAATTATTCTGAGTCATTGCCACAGAAATTGATAAACCAGTGGCTCAGTTTTCTATTACAATTAAAGAATACATCAAGCAAATAAAGGAACAGATTTTCATTTCCTATAATGAAGAGGAAATTACTTTCCATAGCAGTAAGTTTGAAACACTAAAAAGAACATGGATAACTTGTTAAATCTTTTAGTTCCCTAAATACTCAAAGGAGAGGAGAGAAAAGCTGTATTCTCAGGTATGAGGAACACTAAGAGAGGCTAGAGATGTAGGCAAAGGGAGACATAGCCAGGTCAGTGTCTGTTGAATGAACTAATGAAACTCACAGACCAATAGACGCCTCACGAAGTAACAGTTCTAATCCTTCCATAATTTTATGTCCAATGAAGGATAAAGAAAGAAGCTAAACTCATATTTCCACTTTTTAGGACCTAAAAGGACCCATTTGTTAGCCTGTTTTAAAATAACTTACAGAAGTCTGATTATAACTGTTCATCAGAGAAACAACAGAATGTAAAAAAGGAAATAAAGTCCGTCAAATTGTAACCACTTTGATAATTACTTTTATCACCTATACAGGAATAATAAAAATATACATATTTTAAAGTTGTAATAAGAGATCCATTGAGATAGAATAAAGCCTTCACAGAAAACTTGAATTGGTATCTGATAAATGTTAATTCCCCCTTTCTCATTACTTTTGCTTTTTCAGTTTCTTATCCTCAACCCATTTTTTACTAGCTGTGTCACACTGAGTCATTAATCTTTTTAAGAGTTTCTGTCTTCAATGATAAAATAGAAATATTAATAAAAATCTGTGTGTAAGTCTTGCTGTTAAAATTGACTGAGGTAACCTATACATATCACTTAGCCACAGCAGCCATAGTAAGTACTCCGTGAGCACTACTACCATCATTAATCTAACAGACTTAGTTGCAACCCTTCTGGTTGTACTATGGAATTAAAAAAATACACCTAAAGAAACTTAGTTGCTGGTAGTTAGGTATAGTTGTTACTCAGAAGAAGTGCATTTGGAACTAGGGAAGGCATTTTCTGGGTGGCCTAATGACTAAGAATGTTTTTATATTTAGTACTGGGCAGGGAGAGTGTGAGGGGAGACGGGAATGTCAGGGATCTACCAACTGCGGGATTCTCTCATCCATGAAGAATCATCCCATCTTAGATGCCAAACGCTCTCCACTGAAAAACACAGTCATTCAACCTTTTCACTGTGGAGTCCAAAGAGAAGAAGCTGACCAAGGATCAGAGTGAGTTGCTATAACAGCTAGAACTAAGTGTTATACGGAATGTTAACACTGCAGAATTTCTCTCATCTTTTTTTATTTTGAAGAGAAAAAACAAAACAGAATATGGTCAATCAAAACAAAACGGTGAACATGGCACATGACTTTAAAACACAATACAAGAAAATCAGCAATGGCTACCATAAAATCTCTTGTTATCCTCAAAAGAATTGCCCATGCCATCAGGCAAAAGAAAGTCAAACAAAATACTATAGAATAAAACCAGTAAAAACAAAACAATGGAAACAACGCAGGTCTTCAAAACAAGATAATAGTAAAACCACAGTGGGTACCATAATGCATCTTGTTATCTTCAAAGCAGCTGCCTATACCATCAGACATACAGTCAAACAAAACAAAACAAAATAGAATAAAATCAGTCAAAACAAAACAATGAAAGCAATACAGGACTTCAAAACAAGCTAATAGAAAATTAAAAATGGCTACTATAATATATTTTTGTTGACTTTGAAATAGCTGCCCATCCTATCAAAATATAATATGAGTAGACAAAACAAAACAGAATAAAACCAAACTAAACAGAACAATGGAAACAATATAAATTTCAAATTTCAATAACAGATTAACAATGGCCACTGCCTTCCCTTTTAGACACTTCCTCTCCTTTCACCTTTACAGAATGTGTTGTGCATTTCAGATCCCATTAACCTCCTTTAGTTTTTATACTAGGGAGACACAATATTCACCCACGTGACTCTGAACCATTTCACCCTTAGGCATGAACTCAAGTTGTATCCATTTACTTACAAGAGCCTCAAGGTTATCTTTCTTTATAGCTGAGTAGCTTTCCATTGTAAAAAAAAAGTGTCATAACTTTTTTTTATTTTAAAGAGATTAAGACAAAAGAGGACAGAACAAAGCAGATCAGAACAGAACAATGTAAGCAACACAGCACTTCCAACAAGTTGTGGATATTAACCATAGCTACCATAATATCTCTTTCTTTGAAACAGTTGAGAATACCTTCACATACAATAGTATCAAAGATAACAAAATAGTTTTATACTATTCAAGAGAATGGAAGTATTACAGGGCATTCAGAACCAACTAACAGAAAATGAACAATGGCAACTATGTTATCTCACTTTCCATAGAAAATTTGTTTATACTATCATACATATTAATATCCAATAAGACACAACATGATAGAACCAATGTCAACAGAAGAACAAAAGCACAGTAGGACTTCAAAGCAAGAAGATATTAAATCAATGATGGCTGCCATAATGTCTTATTTTCTTCAAAATAGCTGTTTATACCATCACACACAATAAAATCAGACAAAACAGAATAAAACCATTCCAACTTATGAATGAAAACTTTATAAGGCTTCAAAGCAATGTAATGGGGAATCATGATTCCCATAAAATCTTATGTAATTTTACCATTTCTTACACTAGGGAGACTATATGGTAATTTTACATGTGAGTTTGATTTATTTCACTTATGAGTATAGTCTCAAGACGTGTCCATTTATTTACAAATAGCTCAATGTGATCATTCTTTATAGCAGAGTAGTACTCCATTGTATAAAAATACCACAACTTTTTTATCCATGCCTCAGTTGATGGACACTTAGGTTGTTTCCAAGATCTGGTTATTACAAATTGTGCTGCTATAAACATGGCTGCATATATGTCACTGTGGTACGATGTTTTCAGTTCTTCTGGGGATATGTTTAGAAGCAAAATAGCTAGGTCAAATGGGACTTCCAATCTCAGGTTTTGAGGAATCGCCAGACTGACCTCCACAGCAGTTGCACCCAGTCTATACTCCCAACAATAGCAAAAGTGCCATACTTACTTAACCAAAATGCAGCTGGTGGGCAAGCTACCCCCCACTTTTTCTGGTTCCCTGTCACATAGAGCATTGTTCTCATTCCTTTGACTTTCAGTCTGTGAACCTCCTTTTGGGTTAAATGTTCTTGTATAAAACATACTGATGGACCCTGTCTCCTGTGCCTGTGTTTTTTTTTATTGGTGAATTGAGGCCATTTACATTAGTGATTAGGGCCAACAGGCACTGCCTCGTCTCAGCCATGATATTTCCCTGCCACTGGTTGCCTACTTTCCCTCTCCATTCCACTGTCTGCCCCGCTCAGTGAGCCCCCTCTGCCACTGTGCCTGGAACCGTGATCTTTTCTATAAATCTCTCTCTAGAATGTCCTTCAGTATTTTTTGTAGGGCTGGTTTGGTGCCCATGAATTCTTTCAGTTGTTCTTCATCATGGAAATGTCTTGTTTTTCCATTAATTTGGAACGACAGTTTTGCAGGATATGTCAATCTTGGTTGGAAGTTGTTTTCTTTCAGGACTTGAAATACTTCACACTCTTCTTGATTTGATGGTTTGTGTTGAGAAGTCTGTCATCATTCTGAAGGATTTTCCTTTACAGGTGAGCTGTTTCTTTTCTTTAACAGCTTTTAATATTCTGTTCTTGTGTTGAATTTCTGGGATCTTGATTATTATATGTCTGGGTGTAGATTTATTTTAGTTGTGGCTGGAATTCTTGTTTATTTTGGTTATGGCTCCTTGTTATTTTTAAGAGATCTTTCCTTTCATGATCACAAGCTGCAAACCTGTCTTGAAGATCTGAAAGTTTATTTTCAGTTTCTTTCAAAGAGTTTTGCCAGATTTTAGTAGAGTTTTTAATTTCCTAGATATCTCTTTGAATCTGTTTCATGTATAAGTCTGTTTTATATTGTTCATTCAAGGTTTCCCTCATTTTCCTGTGCTCCTCTATTCTTCCATCTATGTCTTCTTTAGCCATGCTTAGCAATTCTTTTATTATGTTTTTTATTTCTTCTTTTACCTGAGATAGTATTTCTGTTCTAATTTCTTTTATAGACTTATGAAGTTGTTTCTTTACTTCAGTTGCCATCACTTTAGAAACTTCAGGTATGTAACTCCTAATCTCTTCGGCATTTACATCTCCTATACTTGCTCTGAATGAGTTGGAGGCCAGAGACTGCCTTTTGCTTCTTTGTCTTGTCATATTCCTGGGTTCTTCTGGACAAGTGGGTAGTGGGGTCCCAGGCACTTCCCGTATTGGCTGAAGTGAGACTGTTTGGTTCTTCTGTCCAGCACTGGCTGTGAGTGTGTGGTGCTGACCACTGGGTGTGTTGGTTTTGGGCTGTCTGCTGCTTTTCCCAGCCTGCTTTGGCTCACTGGGGGCTGGTGAAATGCAGGTAGGGGCTGGGCTGGCCTCTGCCTCCTAGCTGGTTACCAAGGGTGATCCATGATGATGGTTTCCAGAGTTGGTTGTGCATGGGAATGGGTGGCTGCTGCCTCCCTACAGAACTGGTTAACAGCAGGGAACCCCCAACATGGCTTAAGAGTATGCTCAGGGGTAGGGCTAGCTGCTGCTTCCAGTCCAAGCTGGTTAGGCTTAGGGTTAGGGGAACTTCTGTGATGCCTATTGAAATGCTCACAGAGGCAAGGCTCAGTCCAAGCAATTTCCACCAGTCTGCTCCTAGCTAGGAGCTGCTGGAGGGAGTCAGCTGCAGTTCTGGTTCTGGGCTTATCCTGCCTGACTCCAAAATGGCTCCTCACCAATTGGTCTCTACTGCAGGAAGACTGAGCCCTCTGCACTGACTACCAGCCAGTGCAGTTCACTGTGCCTGCCACTTCCCTCCACCACCGCATCTCTTTACAGAGCCCTTTGGGCTTGCCAGCTACCACCATCACTGTGACCGTGCATCCCCAGGTTCCAACAGCTCCTCTTGCACAATGGGTTTGGTTCCAGATGAAGGTGCTACAGACTACCACCTTCTTCATTTAAGTTTTTCATTTTTATTCTCTCTGTGGGCTTCAATTCTCTCTTCAGGTTCTTCCTGGATCTAGGAGACCCCACTTCCTTCCTTTTTATCTTCCCCCAATACTATATTTCAGCATCAGGACTGTTTCGCTCAGAGAGGCCATTTTCTCCGCTGCTTACTCTTCCATCATCTTCCTGGAAGTCCCTCATCTTATAATTTTCATCAGCCAACATACATAACTGTATTCTTAGTATCAATTAATTCTATAAAGTCATTAAAATTCCTAAGGAAAGAAAATCCTTATAGTATAATTTCTCGCTTTATCTCTAGGAGAAACAGAAAGAAATACAAGGTTTATTTTTTTATGTTTAATAATAATATACTAGCTTGTTTCTCTGGTTTTATTATAGTAAAGGCTGAAATGGTAAGTCTGACATCTAGAGGACAAATTAAAAAGGAAAATTTTTGATTTTAATTCCCCCCATGGACTCATCAGTTTTATAAAGAAAGAGACCTTGTTCTATAGTAATAACATGTCATGTATCTGTGTCTTACAGAATGTCTAAGAAAGTACCAAGAAAGAACTGCCTAATACTTTTAAACCCAAAGCCAAGAAATAGCTCAATCACTTGTGCTGCTGAACATTACTCAGGTTTTGCTCAAAGTAAACTATTTTAACATTTGTGGACCACCTACAGATTAGAGCTCACTATGCTGGATGCTGGCAGGGTAAGGCAAACTAAATATAGTCCCTGGCTTCAGGAGCATAGGTCATTGGACATGGTGAAAATGTAGGCAATTATTTCAACATAGTATATAAGTATACTGTACCTCACAGTTCTGGTTCTGGGCTTATCCTGCCTGACTCAGTATACTCACCCAAGAAAGAATGGCTTTCATCAAGAAATAAACCAATGACAAATGCTGGAGAGGCTATGTGGAAAAAGAAACACTTCTTCACTGTTGGTGGGAATATAGGTTGGTGCAATTACTGTGGAAATTAGCATGGAGATTCCTCAAAAAGCTAGGATTAGCGGTCCCATTGACCCAGCTATTCCCCTTCTGGATGTCTTCCCAGAAAAACTAAAACAGCAATATATGTGCACCCAAATTTATAGCAGCACAATTTATAAAAGCTAAATCTTGGAAACTACCCAAATGCTCATTAACCAAGGAATAGATAACAAAGATGAGGTCTTTTTATACAATGGAGTACTACTCAGTCATAAAGAAGATAAACTTGAGACTTCTACAGGAAAATGGATGCCACTTGAGACCAAACTCATCAGTAAAATAAATCAGACTCATATATTTAAACATCATATTGTCTCCTTGATGTGAGAAACCAAAAGAATGAATAAAGTCTAAAATGTACAATAGATACTGTGATGAGAAGAAATTATTTAAATGGAAAGAGGAATTAGAATGGTGGAGGGGAAATGATGGAAGGGAAAAAGAAAATAATAGCAAGTCAGTTATACTGTTAGTGTTCCTTAGTTCACTGAAAGTGAAGGTCTATGCTAATATCAACTGGAGAAAGTTTTAATGTCCATATATTTAAAGGTAACAATATACAATGTATTAACTATTGCTGTTCTCCTACTGTTTTGTTATGAAATATTGTTTTACCTTTTTTCCATAGAAATTATAAGAATGGAAGAAGATAACATCTGTGGAAGTTTTGCATATATTACTCCTAACAGAACTGAGGCTACCATTTCCCTGTGTCCTTGCCTCTTTCCAAGAAAGACCGTGTCTCTTAGCAATCTTTCATGGAGAAAGGGATAGTGTAATTCGCACCAAAGAAACATGAGTGAAAGGGGTCTCACTTCTACCCCAAGCCTTGAGGTGACTACATTTTCTTCACAGATTATCTTGTTTGTCCACATAGCATAGCCTGTGACATAACCACAAAATGGAAGGAGGCTGCACAATCTGTATGGTACTTAGTGTAAGAAATATTCGTTGTTACTGAGATTTTAGGGTATGTTTGGTGCAGCATGGCCTATATCACACTGAATATACACAGCAGATGTAAATTATTATTTTTAAATATACTAACAAACTGATCTGGTTAGATTGCCCGTTAGCACAGACAATACTTACTGCATTAAGGCAAAGCCTCATTTGTTATTCCATGCATAACATTTCTTCTCTCACATCTGTTCTACTTTCTCTTCAAACACTTCAACATATGTTCTGAGACCTTTACTCAACTAACGTGCCACCTTGCATCTGTTACACGAAAGGATTCATTATGCCAAATAGATAAAGGATGCAGTTTACCAATTTTATTCATGTCAGAAATCAACATCTTTGAAAGCTTCTTAGCCAGACAACCAAGGTGTTGATCACAGCAAGCGCAGGGTAATGGCACCTTACCTGCTCTACGTTTTGACTTTTGATGACATATTCATTACCAACTTTCATTTTAGGATGAATCAAGCCCTTCACCAACTCAGAGGAGTTAATACCCATGAGAAAAGCAGCTTTGTCAGCGCCTGGCCATAAAAAAAGAGAGTGAAATGGAGAAGAAAAACACTATGAAATCTCATGCTGTTGTAACCAAAGCCACTACCTGGAGGATAAAAAAATGATGTGTTTATATCAATATAATGAAATAGATTGTAGTTTTGAAATAAATGGCTGAATCTGAACTGTTTAAAGAAATATATTTTTGTGGAGGCAAATAAAAATTGGCATTTATTTATTTTTTGTGCTGGGGATCGAACTCACAACCTTGCATTTGCCAAGCAGACACTTACACCACTGAGCTAAACTCCTGAGGTCTAAATTGGAATTTAGATGTCACTCCATATCCATTTTAGGATAGTCAAAAAGATGTAGACAATGACAAAAAGTGAAGCTGTGCGGAAAAAGAATACTATACAGACATAGAAGGACCAACATATGGACGTATGCTATGATGAGGCAGGAATGATACTTATACCACAATGTGAATGTGATTAATACCAGTAAACTGTATACTTCAAAAACAGCTGAAGTGTCAAATTTTATTTTATGTATGTTTTATCAGGGTAAAAACATCAAAAGTTTAAAATATGTTGAAAGATTGGCATGAATGTGTTTCTTCTTTTTCTTTTGGTTGCAAGGAATTTCTATGATAAATGTAGCAATGACTATTTATATGCTTTCTTCTGAGCATATTTGTGGTTTTCTAATTTAATGATCATAGTAGACAGAATAGTGATTGTGATTTACCTCAAATATTTTTGTTAATCAGGTAAAACTAGATTTTTAACATGGGAAAACCAACAGAAAACAAATCCTTATCTTTTCACCCCAGTGCAGTTACTGTGTCTTTGAAGTTCCAATGGTTTACAATCACAGCTCTGTTTTGTAATATATTTTAAAGTAATTTGTTCTTTTTTCTGTGTGTCTCACATTGTATGCACTAAAGGTACTTAGTGTTAATTAATCCCTCTTTGCATAAGTATAAGAAATTCACCAGTATTGCCAATTACTACTTGAGAGATGCTTCTTATTCTGCAATCACAGAAAAGTAACAGCATTGTGACTGAGAAAATACTTTCAGGAGCAGTAACTGAGGGAGATGATATTGATTATTTTCAACATTTTTCAAAAACCAAGAAAGGTTATCAACTGCAAAGCAAAGGAGCTGGGCCTGGAATCAAGGATTTGAACAGAAATACAAGCCAATAATTCAAAGTAATTCTTACTTTCCGTGCCATCTGCCTCCAGTTCCCCTTCTCTGGATTTCTGTTTGAATTTTATGTTTCCAAAGTGCATAATGGCTCCAATGAGCTTAAAGCACCCGTACTTCTCCTCAGGAAGAAAGCCCAAGATGTCCATGGCTTTCTGTAAAAGAGAAGGAAATGCTATGTCTTCTTTTCCAATGGCTGTGCCGGGCTCTGCTGTGTGTCACAACTCCCAACACAGAGCTGCAAGCTGGTAGAAATCAGAAAAAGCACCAAAACCTGGGTGTGACAGCCTTGTTCAAATCAATACAAATATACCCTATTGGCACTTGGTCACCACTCGTCTGCTCATCCCTTTAAAAGAGGATTATGAAAGCACAAGACTTGGCTTGATTTGTTTCTAGTAGTTTCAAAACTTTCCTTCAATGCCCTGTTCTTCTCATCACTCACTGGTTACATGAGGTCAGTTATTTTGCTTTTCAGGGTTATTACCGCAGATGCTATTGCTTATTTCTGTGATCCCATAGTTCTCTTGATTTTGTTGGAAAGCAGATTCACTTCAAAGACTGGCAAAATGGAAGCATTTAAGAAGCATGAACCCTTGCACCATAGAATTGCATCGAAAAAGCCACTGCACAGGATAATATGTGTATTTTCATACATCCTAGGAGGGAGAAAATGAGGACAATCTAGTGGTTAATTAAGAATGTACAAAAAGCCTATAAAAATCATATTCCTTATGTAGTAATTTCACTTGCAGGAATCTAGCATGAGGTAAATCCTATATACACTAAAAATATTTGCCTTCAAAGATATTCACCACTATGCCAGTGGGGAGCAGAAGATTGACTCTCCTTTTATTTTGCTTTTTAGACAAAGACTCACGATGTGGCCCAAACTGACCCTGAGTTCACTACGTAGACCAGGAGGGCCTTGAGTTTGAACTCATGATCTTTCTGCCCCAGCCGCTTGAGAGCTGGCATTACAGGCATCAACACCACACTTCACTTTAAATATCTATTTAAATGCCTTGAAGAGTTCATAATGGCATTTGAAATGCTTATAAAACAAGTCAGACACTTAAGTCTAAATACCACTTTGTTCCTCTTGTGTGAGAAACCCAAAATATAAATAAGGAACAAAATGGAGGAGAGATATTAGGCAGCAAAAAGAACTCATTAAAATGGGAAGGAAATGACAGATGGAAGAGGGGAAGGAAGAAAGGGGAAGGAATTAAAGGAAAATAGTGGAAATAGTTTTTGTAAATTGGAGAGGAAGAAGGGCTGGCAGGAAGGGAGGAGAAGAGGGCAAAAAAAGACTTAAGATGTGTTATGCATATGTACAAATTCCCCATGATGAATGTCAGTATTATGTCCTATATGCTAATAAAAATATTTTGGAGAAAAATTTAAATTAAAAGTGCTAATTCTATAAACCAATTTGTACATGTCATGTATCAGAAACTTCTGTTGGAAAACAAGCTTACAAAAGCAACCCCAAATAGATTAAAAGCAAAACTGTACAGATATACAGTAAAGAAAAAGGAATGTTTGTCATTAAGTTAAAATTTCTGATTTTTCAGGGTTTAGATTTACTCTCCTGACAATGTATACCTCCACAGTAAATAGAGCAGAGGCAAAGGAAGAGTTAGCCTGCTTCTCCAGGTCCCTTAAGAAAACTGCAGTGCTACGGAATTCTCTCTCATTTCTCATTGATATTGACAAGTTTGCTTGGACAACCAACAAGACTTACTTCTGTGGCCAGCAGTTCTTCAGCATCATCCATACTGTCCACAGCAACTGCTCCACAGGAGCAAACACAAAACTCGCAGGGATTTGCAGATACCAGGATCAGATCTACAGGAGTAAAATCACTAGTTAAACAGCTCTGAGACATACACAAGGCCTGAGAAAATAATTGACTGATATTCACAGTTTACTCTTACAGTTTGCAGCATACTTGTAAACAAGCCAAAATAAAATCTGCATTCTGCAATCAATTTTTGCCCTCTATTAACTTGTCAGTGATGTGTTAAAGCCTTCCAAAAGTAGAATAAGCCAGCCAAATCCAGAAGCAGATTTAATTGCAGCAGCTTGAACTGGCATTAAAAAAAAAAAGTAAAACCTAATGTGTGCTGGCTAAACTTTGAAAATATCAATTTGGTCTAGATTCACGGCTCAGGTCAAAGAACAAGAATGTTTCATTACTTTACAAGTTGAACAAACCTGAAATTCAAAAGCTAGGAAGCCTTTGACACCCAGGGAACTTAGCAGTATAGTCCTGTCACATCACATCCTCAGTATTGGAAGCCTGAGCTCATCTTTCACGGACTCATAAATCAGCTCCTGCGTTCAACAGCTCACTGATGATTTGTCTAGACCTCCTGACACGATGCACCTCATCAGGAAACACCAGTGTGGGCTGAAGCCAAGGAAAATTGTCAGCGGCACACTATCAACTAACTCAACAAAATCTCATCAATTCTTATTGCCCAATATTTACACATGATGAAAGATTTTGAATTCATTTAATTTTTCTGTTTATCATTCACTAATGTGAAGATCTGTTATTCTGAATCCTAAATCTCAGAGACAAAGAAATTGGGCTACACCAATATTCATGCAGCTCTATTTGAAAACAAACCAAGTATCTACCAACATTTAAATGAATTAACAAAATTGTGTGTTCGTGCAATTGATGAGTACTCAGCAAGCAAAGGAATGAACTACAATATGGAGGAATTTCAAGCTAATTATGCCGACTGAATTCAGCCAGACAAAAAAGGTATATGTTGTGATCGTGGCTTATAAAACTCTAGAAAATTCAAACTCATCTATGAAGACAGAAAAATATGTTATTTCTTGGCCAGGTTTGGAAAGGGATTCAACCAATGAGAAGGGCCAGGGAGGAATTAAACAAGATCAAATGTTTCCAAGAATTGGAGCATTATCTTGATTATGGTAATTGTTTTTCACATATGTACATATGCTAACAACTACCAATTGTACACTTCAAAGACATGCAATTTACTTTAGATCAATAATATTAAATAAAACTATTTTATAAAGCATTAAAAAGTAAAAAAATTGAGTTACTCAGAAGAAATCAAACAATGGCAAATATCATACTTTTAACTTTATTTGAAATATAATCCATGAAACGTAAAATATTTATTTGTATGTTCAATAATTTTTATGTATTTTTAATTGACAAATGTTATTTAAGTTTATTTCATACATCATGATGTTTTGATATATGCATACATTTTGGAATGTTCAATCTAGCTTATTAATTTATCTATTACCTTATTTAGATATTTTTATGGTGAGAACTTCTAAAATCCACTCTCAGCAATTTGGTACATTGGTATTAACTGTGGTCACCACATTGTATGATAAACCTCATGCATTTACTTGACTTTTGTGGATTATATAGTATTTATATTTCTGTGCCAGGCTCATTTCACTTAGCAGTGTTCTGCAGTTTCATCCATGTTTTACAAATACCAGGATATTTTATAGGACTGAATATATATATATATATATATATATATATATATATATTTCCTTATAGATTTATCTTTGATAGATACTTAGATTGATTTACTATCTTGCCTACTGTGAGTAACACTACAATTAACATCAGAGTGCAGATTTTTTTTGATTTCATTATATTGTCACTGGGTGTGTATCCATAAATGGAATTTCTGAATCATATAGTACTCCTATTTTAAATTCCTTTATGAACTTTCATACTTTTCCCATATATCACCATCACTGTACAAAGGTTATTTTTTCTCCACATCCTTAGGAACACTTGCTATCTCTTATCTATTTTATAATCATCATCCTGACAGTTGCAAAGTGCTACTCAGTATGTTTTTGTTTGCATTTCCCTAATGATCAAAGTGTTGAGCATTTTTTCTGTAATCTTGTTGGTCATTTGCATATCTTCCTTTAAGTAATATCTTTTCTGGTTTTTATCCACCTGTAATAAGTGTGTTGTCTTGCAATTGAGTTGAGTTCCCAATATAGTTTGGATATCAACCCTTTTTCAGATATATAGCTTGCAAATATTTCCTCTTATTCCAGTGTGATATATATTCACACTCTAGGAAATGAACACTGAGGGTAGTAAGCAAAGTCACGGATTCTAAGAGACAAAGATCTGGTCTCTGGCCTCTCCTCCTGGAGTTTATATACTAAGTGAATACCAAGAATTGGTACAGTAAGTAAAAAGAAGGAAAAGGGTTTTAAAAAGAGAGAAAAAGATAAGCAGATATATGGAGGTCAAGTTACAGAATCTGTGTTCAGATTTAAAGGATTCCACAGGAAACCTTATCTGAGTAGACTAAAACCATGCCTGGAACAAGAATTAGCCCTAATTGAGAGGAAAAGGAGCGAAGATGTGTACATCACTAGGTAGAGGCCAGATAGGCTTGGAGGAATAGTTGTCATCACCTTCTTCACTTCTTCAGCATAATAACAGCCTGTAACTCTTATACTGGATTAAGTTATAGAATGCACAGATGCCCATGCGTTAGGGGATTTGGACATAGCACTCTTACTGTCAGTATGTTCTCCCTTATATGCTCCAGATGCACTGAAACTCTTTGATGACAAACATGGATAGAAAGAGTACCCAATCGCTTGTTAGCATATTTCCCCCAGACACAATGGGTATTGCAGGTCAATTGACCGTACCAGATTAGGACCACTAGATGTCAGACTTTGCATAAGAATCAGTCTAAGCACCAAATCTTGACCATGGTAGAAGAAATGAAAAAAGCATAATTTTTCCAGAGAAGGTCAAAGCTTTCAGATGATTCCACATACTAGTAACCATATATACTCAAAGAATCATGAGGTCACTAATGTTTTCTACATTAAACCCCATGTGTCAAATGGCCTGTGCAAGACAGAAACTCATGTCAACAATGTTAGATTTTACATAATCAATCAATAGGAGGACAAAGATTTTTAAGCATAATAAAAAATAAATCCTTTTTGAAGCATAAGTGGATGGAATGAGTAAGTAGCTGTTAGTATCACCAAGTCTACTTATGGTAAAAGTAACCAACTAGTTTGCAAAGCTTTTCCTAGCATGTGAGGGCACTCAGAAGTTGAAGACTAAGTAGTCAAAATGCATCCATATTTTATTAAACTAATTTGCACAAATGGACAGGTGATCCTTTCCCATCAACCTGCTTGCTAGCCTATAACTGCAACTTCCACTTACATCCAGTCTTTTCTTTTTTTATTTTATGGAAGAACAGGTAAGACAGAATTTCATAACAAAATAATAGGAGAATAACAGCAGTTAAAACATTGCATATTGCTATCTTTAAAGTAGTTACCCAGAGTAAAAGATATGAGCGTAAAACATTCTCCAATCAATATTAGCACAAACTTTCCTTTTCAATGAATTAAGAGACGCTAATTGTATGACTGATTTTCATTTTTCCGCTTTTCCTTTCCTTCCTTTCCCCTTTCTCCCATGCCAGTCCCTTTTTCCTTTTGAACAACTTCTTCCCATTTCACAGTACCTATTGTACATTTTAGACTTTATTTACTCTTTCAGTTTTGTACACCAAGGACACAATACGGTGTTTACACATGAGTCTGATTTATTTCACTCAAGAATATGGCCTCAAGTTGCATCCATTTGCCTGTAAATGTCTCAAATTAATCCTTCTTTGTGGATGGGTATTACTCCATTGTATAAAAAGACACTTCTCTTTTATCCATTCTTTGGTTGATGAGCATTTGGGTTGTTTCCATGATTTAAGTGCTCCTTTAAACATGGGTGCACATATATCACTGTGGTATATGGAAGTAATTATTGTCCTTAACAGTTACATTGAATACAGTCTAATCTCCTTATAAATTTTCCCATTTAATTTTTTAAACTTTTAAATTTTATTAGTAAGTGCCGCAGCACATGACTGCATTCGTCATGGGGAGCTAATATGTGTACGTAACACATCACCATTTGTTTTGTGTCACCTTCGTGTTCCCTTTCCACTTCCAATGACTTTTCATACTCTTAGAATCGAAGGCCTCTCACTCCACCAAGGAATGCTACTTGATCCAGCTACTTCCTAGCTCCCCCTGTTACTTTCTATCACCCAGACTGGCCACTCACTACTTCAAGAAAGCAAACAAAGCATACTCTTGTCTCTGGGACTTCACCATTTCCTCTCCCTAAAATTTATTCCTGAAAACCTCTGCCTACTTCCTACCTATGTAAAAATAGTGCCTTCGCAGAGAGAAATCATTAGATTATTTTATCTGAAATATAACTACCTGCAACCCTACCTGACCCCACTCTTTCTGTCCTTTCATACTACTTTAGTTTTGTTTATAGATCTACTACTGTCTGAAATTATGTCTAGCTTTCTTTCCTTTTTTCTTCCTTTTATACATTTTTTATTCATTATTTATTTTTTGAGATAGGGTTTTTACTATGGTGCCCAGACTGGCTTCCACTTCTTGTGCTCAAGCATTTGTCGAACATCATTCTTGCAAACAGCTAGGACTACAAGCAGAAACCATGGCCAAATGTGTATATTTGGTTGCCTTCAATGCTAGAGTGTAAGCTCATGAGGGTAGGACTGGTCTGTTCAACATTCTAGCCACAACTCCTTATGTAGCAGAACCTGCTATACACATAATGGTCTGACAATAAATATCTATTGAAAGAATAGATGAATTTTATTCCTTTATGGCACACTATCCTAATAAAATCACACAGCTTATATTTCTTTGACTTCTTCATTCCTTCATTCACTCACTGCCATTATAGATTACAGCTCTATCCCTTTTTTCTCAAACTCACAGACATGGCAAGTCCTGCCAACTCACACTGGGACTATTGCACCCCTTCCTCTAATATTTCTGCTTGCAGGGCATCTTGTTCATCACACCAGCTCATTTATCCTAAACATTGCTCCCAATCAGATGACCACCCACCACAAGGACACACAAATGCATACCCAACTTCCTAAGTGCAGAAACCATCAGAATAAAATCTTTCTCTGTTCCTCTATGCAAATGCAGCCCTCCCATCAACAAAGACTTCTGCTCCTGCTCTTGATATACTATGTTGTGGTATTGTATATATTGTCACTACTTCTAAAAACACATTCCACTCTTGACTGGTTAAATATGATTCCCATTATTTACATCCCAACCTACATGCCTCTTCTTTACAAAAATCCCACGGACTGGCACACATCTTAGGTGGTGATATCTCTCTCCTCTGGCCTCTTATTCAAACCAATGATGTGGCTCTAATCACACAAAACTTTAAATTATCTAACACTTTTACACACACTCACACATACAAACACACTAATTCCCTCCCACTTCCAAAAGTTCTTCCTTTAACTACAAAATTTAGGCCTTGCCTTTTACCTTCTATACACAGAAAGAAAATGTTTGTTGCAAAATGTTGTTCAGTTACCTACACTATAGGTTAAATAAACTGAGGATAAAAAGGCAAAGAGACTTCCTAATATAGAACTTTCTAATCCCTGAACTACGTTTCTGTCTCCTGTTTTACAGTGACACTTAACTCCAGAATTGTATACATACCACGAAGTTCTTTTTTTCCAAACAGGATTTGATAGAATATGTGATAATTCCTCTCCCCAGGAAGCTGGTAAATCACCCGGGATTTTTCCAACAAATCTGGGTAGGTGAAAAATGAACAAAGATTCATGTTTAGCTGTTCATGAGCAACTTAGAAAAAAGCAATCAGATAGTACAATGGCTACTCACAGATCTCAATATCTGCAGTTGACAGCATGCCGCTGGCATCAAAGTACATCCTGATGAATTTTCCCTAGGTGGACACAAAGCACAAACTATTCAAACTTTCCACAAATTTTGCAAACAGTTTCAATGGCTTCATTATGTAATTTTTCAAAGATTAAAACATAAAATGCAACATGAGTTTGAGATGAAGTGTCATCTGTTTAATGTGTGTAGGAAGCTAGAATGGTTGTCAAGATTAGCAGTGGTCCTGACTTGTGATCTAAAATTTGTCATCTGCTTCTGTTCATTCTTGGGTGCACTGAAGAGACTCTGTGAACGTCAATGTGCTTGTCTAAAAATAAGAAATAAAATATCTACTCAGCTACTCTTTCATTCATTCTTTCCACAAACATTTTCCAGGCAAATGTTATGACCCAGAAAAATCTTCTTCTATGGCACTGGAGATGCCACACAAGAAAATTAGGCAAGGACTGCTTAGAGAATATGTTCTAGAGGTGATGGGCAAATGGAATAGTTCTAACAAAAGAATATTTGGCATGTTTTTAAATCAAAAGAAAAGTCAGGGAAATCCTGACTCAGCAGACTCTATGATGACTATAGAAATTATGGGAAAAGAATTTCAAAGGCATAAAATACACAACATTATTGTAAGTTGTTTTGCAAGTTTCCCTAGAGCACAGGAAAGAAATCTGAAACTTTTCAATACAGGCTTCCTGAAGGTGACCAAACAGAAGTTTCTCAGTTATAAATTTGTAGGTAGCTTTATTGTCTTAGTGACAAATCTCATAAATTCTTTGTTATGGTTTGTTTAAGTATCCCCCCAAAGTCTCATGCAGTCATGGAAGCAGCTGAATCTAGCATTTCTGATTGGTTCACTGTTTAGTGCTGGGACTGGTGGCATGAATGCTACACTTGCCAGGGGCTGGTAGCCAGTATACAGTGTAAGGGAGAGAAGGAGGCTTTCTTTTCCCTGTTTTGACCTTTTTACTTTTGTTTCTTGTGGCTGTGAACAACTGCCCCTCAGGCATGCCACCCTGCCTTGGAACCAGCTGAGTGTGACCTGAAACCTTCAAAAAAAAAAAAAAAAAAAAAAAACCTGTAAGATAAGTAACCTTTCCTCCCTTCATTTTGGGTATCAGGTATTTTGTCTCAACAAGAGAAAAATAACAAGGACTTTCTTTAAGGACTCTAACAATATAGAATTCAATCAAATACATATTTTTTGATGTTCTAAATTTATTCATTTCTATATGACCAGACATGAGTATTATCACTGTTTAGAGATTATAGACCCTTATATTATACTAAATTATATTACTTACAAAGCGAGAAGAATTGTCATTTCTTAGAGTTTTGGCATTTCCAAATGCTTCCAAGATAGGATTGACTTGTATGATTTGATCTTCTAAAGCCTCCTGAGATGCACACAAAAAAAGTACAGCTAGTTCAGTTTTTACCAGAGTTCTATAATATGGCACATCTTCCAAATGGAGCCTCATTCTTTCTCTAATAATAGGTCGTCAAAAGTTCCTTTAAGTTTTGTTATGAAATATATTATTTTTGAATGAAAATTCAGAAAAACCAATAAAGGAAAGAGCACAATTCTATATACAATATTCTTATAAGAATATATGGGAGCTCATTATCACATAATGCTTATGTTTTGGCTATCCTTGGCTGACATGGAAAAATAAAATGATAATTCATCAAACAGTAATTACCATAGTCAATCTCCAGACATACTCTACAGCATACATGTCTCTATTATTAACTTTCCTCTTTTCTCATCTAATCCTCACACTGGGGAATTTATTCTGAGTTAATATAGTAGACTCTTGGTACTATTGAATTTTAATTTCATTTGCTACTATACAAAAGTAACTCAAAGTTCACTCTATACAGTGACTTATGATAGCACTGATGCTGAATTTGAAACATACATACTCAGGCTGCTGAGCCAAAACAGTTCAGTTACACAGAATGAGCCTGAATAGCCAACTAACAGCCACATTGCATCAGGACTTTGTGGTTTTTCCATTCATCTTCAAAGATCTTTGTATAGGAATGATCATGTTATTCAAGGCTATATAGATTACAAATATTACATCCCTTCTACATGATATGGGTTTGTTGCCCTTTAAATAAGACAAACATATGAGCAAAGATTTCTAAAAAAGCCCTATGCGTTATATACTACATTATGTATCCTCATAAGACACAATCCCTAACCCAAATCAATAATGTACACCAAGCAAAACAACCTAAAATGCACACTAATATTTTATCTAGGGAATAATAGAGTTCAGCAGAACCTGAAGAAATCAAATTGAAAAATGTGGTCCTTGAAAAGGAAACTTTCTACAGTATAAAAATTGAACAAGTTGGCTACTTTTATATGCTTTTCACATAGCAACTACAGGCAACTTCCAGGATCAAATTACAAAAGCAAAATGGGGTGGGGAAGAAAGAAGGCAGGCCAAAAGGAAGGAAGGAAGGAAGGAAGGAAGGAAGGAAGGAAGGAAGGGAGAAAGGAAAGAAGGCAGGGGGGAGAAAGAAAGGAAGGAGAGAGAGAGGGAGAGAGAGAGAGGGAGAGAGAGAGAGAGAGAGTTCGATATGGAAAGATGAGAGGTCTAGCAGCTCCATAACTCACTGATTTTGAGTATCATACAAAATTACTTCTTAATTTTATTTGGTATGCCAACTTTTATGGTCTAGTTATTCCAAAATTATTATAAAGCCCAACTAAATTGTTATAGTATTAAAATTGTAAATGAAATTAAAAATCACTAAGGATTTAAAAAGGAGAAGATAAAGTTTTTCAGAACATTGAATGTCACTAAAGTTAATGTTTTCTTTGCACAGTTAGGATTTGGTACAGGAGTGGTCAATAGAATCAGACGTCTTTGGTACATATTTGTGAGAATCTTGCATTGTAACAAGACACACTCATAAATATCAAATGTGGCCATTCAAGGCACTCACCACGTTGCTCTTGCAGTAACATGATTTGCATATTGAGAGCATAATAGAGAACCCAACCAACAAAGAAAACACCAGCAATTGTCCCTTAAAGCGGATCTAAAACAAATTATACAATCCATGTTTTCAGATTACTAATTTGGAGAATTTGATAATTTTCTCAGGAGGAAAGAGAAGATGAAAAACAGTGTTTTATATTTTGTTAATTTTTCTGTGCCTTTTTCCACGTCCTTCCCTGTAAGGGGTTAGGACACAGCTTCCATGATTCAGTGGCCTCAGCCATCTCACCTGCCTGTCACATTACATAAATTCTTACCAGTTTTTTCTTGGATTTACTCATAGTGGCAACAGTGGCAAAATACTGGATAATATGTTTGGTGTTCACAGTCTTTCCAGAACCAGATTCTCCTCTGTAATGAGAAGGTCAATAAGAAGAAAGTTAAGTAATCGTGATCTCATCTAAGCCTCTTTCCAGAAGGGAGCCTACCAATCATTTCAACAGGCAATTATGAATCCCCTTTTATCTTTCATAATTAGCTAACTTTATACAATCTTTAGACACTGCTGGGCTTGGCACCCAAATTATCTTAGGATAAAGGGCTGCCTTGACTTATATGAAATTCAGTGTCTTGCCTACGTTCTTTGCACCAGAATTAACATGCAATAAGGTATCGCTAGGGTCTGTCCTTCCTTCCGATCCTCTTCCTTTTTTTTTGTTTTGTTTTTGTTTTTGTTTTTCTGGATACTGTTCTCATTACTTACTATACAGTGGCCTGCTCCTCTCTGGCTGCTTACAATAGCATGTTGTCTGTTCCATAGCCATATTCATTGAAAAATTTTAGCCTCTCTTGTTAATTAGCCAGTGCCGAAAACTTTAAAAGTGATCATTTGTAATCATCATCTGGGAATTCTCCATCAACAAGATACTTGAGTTCAGGTTGTGCACTGTGGATTCTAAAGTGTCGCTTTAAATGGCAGAAGCACCATATTTGAAGGAATCACTGACTGACGTAAGATGACAATTTTCTGAGTACTGTATCTAATTCTTTCAAGAGTATGTTTTGCATTACAGAGCAAACAATTCAAACATGTCAAATTTAAATTGTATTTTCAGAGACACATAGGTGTATATTCTCATTGAAAGTTTGTGCTTACCAAAAAGCAAAACAAAGCAACACACTTACGTGAGCAGTATAGACTGGTTCTCACGATCTACAAAAGAAAAAAAAAAAGCCAGGACATGTTTAAACCAGAGTGTTATGCATTGGCATGAACTTATTTACAGTTTCCTCAGTTTCTGTTTGAAAGGATTTGGTTGATTTAGTTAGTAAAAGAATATAATTTCAAATGTGAGGATAAAGCGGTGGTTTTCTACGTAGGCTGATCAGAAAAACATACAAATTTTGGGCTTATTTTTTTGCTCAACTAATGGTTAACAATTTCCCCATTTTAAGCCTTTTAGGAATTATTGTGTATAGCTGTAGAATAATGTATTTGTGTCAGAGTATAGCAGATCTTTTATGCAATAATAGCTGACACCTACAGGGACTTACTGTGGGCCAGCCACCAGCCCAGCACTGCAGATGCATTCACTTTGAAGTACAAGCTAATTGTCTCAGTGGCCCTAGGAGGTACAGAGAAAGTAGATCAGATATTTTTACTTTTCATTTTGTAGGGCAGTCACTTACTGTGAAGCATAACCTGAAAGGCATTATCAGCAACAGCAAAGATGTGAGGGGGAGCCTCTGAGCGTCTCTTCCCTCTGTAGGCAGCTATGACTTCTTTCTGATACACTGGAAGCCACTTGTAAGGGTTTAGAGTCACACAGAAGAGACCTGCATATGTCTGAGGGAAGATTAGATTTTTGGAAAATGGATTAGAAATACTTCCAAGTCTGTCAGATCTTCTTCTGGTAGGTAATTATTTGCTTAAATGTTTACTTATACAAAGAATTCAAGAGAAGAGCGCTTTTGATTCATCCAAAGAAGGAACCTTCTAAACAGAGGAGACAGAATCAGGTCAGCCTAACATCAGCACCTGGGATTTCCTCTCCTCTGGGAGATTTGCTAACTACTAACATGTCTAACACATACAGCTTTTGAAGACAGAACGCTAACAGCAGGCCTGCAGGGATTTCAGTAACCAGCCATTAGGCATTTGAGGCAGAAGACAATCGAGGTCTCAGCAAGATTAGGAACTTGATTGTCAGGACACTAATGGAGAATAAATGGCTTGTGTGGGTGCCTTAGTCCATGAAGTGGTTGGATTGTGGCTCCTGAAAAGATATACTTACAAATACCCCTAATCCCTAGAAGCGATGGAGGTGAATTTATTTGGAAAAGGATCTTTATAAGTGTAAATTAAGGACTTGAAGATTGACATCCCAGTGGGCCTTAAATGTAATGGCTGCTTCCCTCCTAGAGACACATACAGAAAAAGGTGACATAAAGATGGAGGCAGAGACTGAAGTGTGTAAGGCCACAAAAAATGCCAATAACCCTGAAATTTGGAAAAAAAAAGGGACTGAGTCTCCTCCAGCCCCTCCAGAGGGAGTAGACTGGTTGACTTTGCTTTACGGCCCTTGATAATGTCAGAGATGGATGATGGCCTCTGATGACTGTTGCCTGTGGATCTGTAAAAGAATAAATGTTTATTGTTTTAAGCTACCCCAGTTGTGCTAATTTTGCAACCGCAACTCAAGAAAACTGAAATAGGCTCATGGTAAATCAGAGAGGTCGCCATTTTAACCTAACCTCTCACTGCTGCTTCTGATGTATAGGTTTTAATTAAATCAAAGAAACTGAGTGGCAGCCAACCATCACCAGTTTTAACAATGGTGAGAAAAATTACTCCATTATATCCAACACTAATTAGGTGACAGGTGCTGAACTTTGTACTCCTATTTATATGCTTTTATGTCTTCCAGAGTACCATAGATTACCATTTCACTTTACAAATAGACAACTTCAAGACTTACAGGTTCAACAAGACAGAGATGCGATAAGAGAGAACATCTCTGCCCTCACCTGGGACTGTATGGGTGCTTTCTCAACAAGACAGGGGAGGTGAAGAACAAAACAACTCCAATTCCATTGGCTGCCCCTGACAGAAGTGTCTCACACACTGTCAGGATAGGCCTGGATGCTGCTTTTAGATTTGTTTGCACAGAGCCGCAGGTGCATACACAAGAGAAACATAAGTTCCACATTTATCGGTCGTCTGGTTAGATCCCATTGTGGTCTTAGCGGTGGTCATTTCACAACCACTGGCTCTATAAGTGGGCCATTTTATCTCTTTCTGGTTCATTAAAAAATATTTACTGAGCACACTGCAGGCCAATGAGCTAATTTTGGCATGTCTCCAAGGAGCCCACAGGCTAGAGGTAAAGATGATGTGTAACCTTCCTGAAATCAGAGAGGTAATTGCTACCAAGAGCATAAGAACACGAAGAGCTCAGCTCATCTCACCCCTAAAATCCAAAAGACTGTCACATAAAATGCTCAATGAGTGTTTTAGTGAGTGTTAAATATGTATTTATATATCTCTCAAAGGCTTGCACATGTGGGTGTACACATGTTGTGCACATGTGCATGACTACAAGAATCCTCAATTTTAATTTTTCAAAAGTAAAACCCTCAAATCTATTTCCACTCAAAATTTTTTAAAAAAGAGACTTTTTGAATAGTTGTTCAAATGGGACGGGGAACTAGAGAAGGGAGAGGGGGAAAGGAAAGAAGCAAAAAGAAAAACTATAAACAAAGCTTTTGTAGATAAGGAGGGGAAGAGCGTTGAAGGTAGGCTAGTGAAATGGAAAAAAAGAAACCAGCTATATCATGTACAGGTACCAATTCTCTATGATGAAGTGATGATTATGAATAGCTAAAATGTGCCAATAAATGTAATCAATAAAAAAGAAAGGGCTGGGAACAATAGCTAAGGATCGCAGTGCCTGCCTAGTATGCAGAAGGTCCTCAGTTCAATTTCTGGTTCCAAAAAAAAATCATTCATCTTAGAAAGAACCTTAACTTTTATGTAAAAGAGCTAGCACTTGGACTCTAGTCTATTCATTTTATGGAAATCTCATGACTTTCATATGGAATGATGATCTTTGGAAAGGTACTTGGATGTAAACATGATGAGACAAGCTGATCCCCAGTGTGTGTTTCACAAGGACTGTTTCTATGTAGTATGCTTAAACTAAATTAAAGATACAGTGCAGGAGAGCTTGGGAGCACCAGGATGTCATTTTGCAGGCAAAGCAGATATACACACATAGATCATCCAGTGGTCGTAGCGCCTCTTCAGGGTGTGCAGCACAGATGCCTCGTTGAGGTGAGTAAGCATGGCCAGGTCTTCAATCATGTCAAACTTTGCAGAATTCATCTGCTGGATGTGGTCCTGTTTGACACTCAGACTCTGAAGAGAAGGGACAAAAATAGGACATAGTCCCCTGTTTTTCCTATGCTTACTTGTATTGCATGAAGATTGGAAACAATCTTCAGAGTAAAACGTCCAGCCTTAGGGCATAGGGCCAGAAGAGATTAAAACAACTTTCATATAAGAAATTAGTGCTTCCTTACCAAATACTACTCCTTTCCTGAAGATAGATAAAAGCATATGTCTGCTAAGTCATCTGCCATGAATTGATCACTAGAGCTGAGGTGATATTTGGGTCACCTACTTGAGCATTCAGAATTCTGGTTACATTAAGCCCTTTAATTTGTAAAGTTATCCATCCGCTGGTATTTCATCATAGAAAATAGACTAATACCTAAATTAGTAATGAAATGGCCATATCCCTATTAAAGGTTGGACAAAGTCTTAAAAGCACACTTTTTCCAAATAAAAATAAAAACCAATAAATAACGTGAAATGATATTCAACATTAATGATTAGGGACCTGTAAATAAAAGTCATACCAAAATACAGTACCACTTCATACCTATTAAGATGACTATAATCTAAAAGATCCTGGGATGTGTTGGGAAGAAAGAGAAAAATTACACTACTATATCAGTGGTGGGAATATAAAATGGCACTGCCACTATGCAACCTTTTGGCTCTTACTCAAAAATGCTAAACACAGGGAACTATAAGAGCCAGCAACCTACTGTTAGATCTAGAGCCAAGAAAGATGAAAACATACATCCACACAAAACCTTTCACATACATGTGGATAGCAGTATTATTCACAGTGGGCAAAATATGTAAAAACTCAAATTGACCATAAACTGATGAAAAAATAAACAAAATAAAGAATATCTATAAGATAGAACATAATTTAGCTATAAAAAGGAATTAAGTACTCATAAATGCTACAAAATGAATAAACTTCAAAAACATTATAAGAAAACAGCTATCCACAAAGGGTCATCTACTATAAGATCCAAGTTATCTGAAACTTCCAAAATAGTCAAACCTGTAGAGACAGAAAGTAAACCCCTCATGGTTTGAGATTGGCAGGTGAGGAAAGAAGGGGGCTGATTACCAATGAGTACAGTGCTTTTGGGGGGATGATTAAAATATTCTAAAATTGGATAATCATGAGGGTTTCATGTTTCTTTAGATATGTTCATTAAAAATCATTGAAATGTAAACTTTAAAGTGGTAAACTATGGTACATCAATTTTATCTGAATAAAATATTTTGTAAAAATCAACACAATAGGCAGGATTTGTGGCTCAAGGTTAGTGTTTGCTGAGTGTGTCTAAGCCCCTTGGTTCCATTCTTTGGATCACAAAGAAAAAAATGGTACAAATAATGATGGAAATTAGACAAGAGACATTTAGATCTGTGTTTTGGTTTCTCTTCTACAAATACTGTCTCAAGACTAATCATCCCTGTGTAACTTTAGCTTGGATTAGAAAACTGAATTTTCTCTTATTTACTGATATGTATTCTAATTTTAATAAAAGGATAAGTTTCCTTCCTTGGTTCAATTACTTAGTTACATAAAAATCTGTTTTACATACAGATATTGGCTGTATTTAAGCATACATACACATACCATAAGCAATATTTATGAGTGGCCTCCAGAATTTTGTAATTAAATGGCATTCCTCTAGATAGTAAGTTACCTAAATTCAGAGCATTAAAAAGACAAACTTTCTTAATGATAACTTGTACATTGTAAGGTGTGACTTGCTAGCAGGTTGGGAAAGAACACAACTGGAAAGAATTTAGAGAAAGGCAATAAATCATCCTCTATAAAAGCTTCAAGGCCCTGTGTGCCCACATCAGAGTGGAAGTAGAATCCAGAAGTTGCTGCGTGGCTTGCAGGAAGGTTGAGGTCAGTAATACAGGCAAAGCATCTGACTGATCTGTCTTTTCAACACTACCTTGACATTTCAAATGCACACAGGACAGGCAAAAGAGACTGGGAGTGTTAGTTTTACCGCATCTTCCCTGTATAAATGCTTATGCCCCGACACTTGGTCTCATCTTCCGTTTCAAAGACGACTTCTTATGTTTGAAATCCAAGACTTCCTTCAAACTCCTGATCTTTCTCTAGTATTTCACATAACTTTAACTTGGCATTCCTTCATCTCCTGGCTCCTTTGAAACTGTTATTTTATTCAGTATAGACATCTCTTCCTTAACCCTAAATGCAGTTTGCTTCAGAAGCCTGTAGGTCATTATTCATTCTAAGGGGCACCTTTAAAAGAGAGCTCAAAGTACTGATGAAAGAAATGGTTGTGAGTTCTGGAGTCGATATTTGCCGTCCTGACATGTTACTCTGATGTATTCAATGTTTTTTATTAAATGTTATATTAAGTGGAGTAGTCCCTTAAAGACAAGTCAAGTCTCCAAATTAGTGGCTTCTCCTCCTTAAGGTCATTAATAATAATATGATAGAAAGGAGATTTGATGCAATAGAGAACACAGTCATTCCCAAAATGAAATATTCTTTTACCCTTCCATCCTTAGTCTCAACAATAATTTTTCCGTCTTCTTCACTGCCCTTAATCTCAGCTTCAATGTAGGCATTCTTCTCATCACAAACCCAGCATTTCTGCTTTCCTATGGAGGGAAAAAATTAATTATAACCATGGTACTGAGAGGAATACATAGCCACTAGGTATCTTCATATGGATAAACATGATCTTATTTCTGATAAGTCTGTTTGTTAACTTGAGTCAGCAATACAGGAAATCTCCACATTTTATGTAATTGTGAATGTTTACCCTGAAGATAGATACACACAGTGACTCTGTAAAAACAAGAACGATCTTGTTTTAACGATCTTAGCAAGCACGATCTGGGGGCTACTATGAGCCATTCTGACATGCAAAAACGTTACTACCAACATTTCCAGAAAACTTACCCCCCAGTCCCAACCACATTGCTACTGCTCACGTGCTCAGGCCCTCACATGTTGCTCCAGTGCTTGTTCCCTTTCCTAGAACTCCCCCCGGCAAATCCTTTTGAAGCCTGTCCTTTCAGTATTTCCTTAGATTATGTATTTATTCATTTATTTATTTTATTTTGAAGAGAGTAAAACTAAACAAAATAAAGGAGAATAAAGTCAATCAAGGGCCATGGATTTAGCTTAGCAGCAAAGCACTTGCCTGGCAAGAACAGGGTCCTGAGTTTAATTCCCCCCCAAAAAAGCCAATTAAAACAAAACAACGAAAGTAATGTAGGACTTCAAAACAAGATAATAGGAAATTAACAAAGGTTATCATAATATATCTTGCTATCTTCAAAATAACTGCCCATATCATTAGAATGATAAAATCAAACAAAATAAAAGAGAATAAGGTCAAACAAAACAAAATAATTAAAATGATACAGGACTTCAAATCAAGATGATAGGAAATTAACAATGGCTACATTATGCTTCTTATTATTTTCAAAATAGCTGTCCAGACCTTCAGACATAAGCATTGCATAGGCAAGCAATATAAGAACTAAGTTGCTCCTTCACTTCACTGGTTATCTTTTCAGAAATCTCAGGTGTGTGATCTCTGTCTCCTGAACTTGTTCTGTGTGGGTTATGGAGTCTGAGATTGTATTTGCTTCTTCATGTTGATGTTTTCCTGTTTTTCGTGGAACCAACCCATCATTGCATGCCGGGTGCTTCCTGCATTGGCTGCAAACTAGGCATCTGAGTTCCTCCAACCTAGGGTTTTATCTTTATTTCTAAAGCCATTGGGCTCCCTCTCTGACATCAGAAGTTCTGGATTTTTTGCTAGGTATATTTAGAGCATTATGTTTTCTTTCCAAATTTATAGCTTCATTTGGTCATTATAGCCATGGAGGAAGGGACACGGGGCAAGTATTATTTATCCCCATTTGGCAGGTAAGAAAATGAAGGCTCAATAAAGTGAAGAGCATTGCTCTGATTATACAGTCAGAGAGGGTCAAGGGCTAAGAATGTGAATTCAAGATTACTGGGAAAATACTTATTATCACCCTATCTCCATTTCCATTTTGATCATTATCACACTGTTTCCATTTAAAACAGCAAACTCCATTATCTACCAACACAGACTGATGAACAACTTCTGATGACTTTCATCTTCTTGCTGCCAGTACATTTCAATGAGGAAGAATTAATCTGTCCCAAACAATTAATTGAAATTTATGTTGATGGCTATACTTTAAATAACTTCTATAATGCTGAATATATGAATGAAGTGTCTAATTATCTTAAAGCTTTGGCCCAATTTTTATTTCTCTCCCTGGCACCACTGTCCTCTTGTCCTTAGTTGTCTGACAAACTGTGATAAGCTTTGACGAGACCAGTTCTGACCTCAGGGATTATTCTATTATTGTATTTGACTTGATGGATTATAATTACCTGCTCCCAAATCCAATGATAGTAATGAAATTCAATGACTAGAAACTGGGAACTTATCCAGGACAGGTTGGTCTCTGGTGGAAATATAATGTTCTATATAACTGGCATGAATTATAATTTCTCATAGTAAAATCTAATGTTAACTAGTTCCAATGACTAGGACAACACTGAGTTTATATTGCACTGTTGAATGATATTGGAATGAAAACATATTGGTGACCTGATGCCAGATCATACATTGAATCTGACTTCTAAATTTCCAATTAGCTGAAATTCAGACAATGGCCAGGCAGCCTAGATATGTAAATGGAGAAGGCAAAATTGTAATATTTATTTAGGGATTTCAATGCAGAATTTGGCCATAATATTAAGGTCAAATTCTTATTAACGTTGTCCTTTCCTGAAACTGTGAGGCTTAGTGAGGAGGTCTCCTGGTTACTTTTCCTTTACTGTTGGCTCAATAAACCTACAGACCTATAAGACCACCATCAGAATGCCAAGTTCCAACACTGAGAAATTCAAACCAGGAGCAGAGACTAATTCTGTTTTCTGGCCTTCTTCAAGTCTTTCCCCTCTTTCTTTGTCAGTGTACAAACTTCACCTCTAGACTAAGTCGTTTCCCGTTTCTCTATTTAAGTATTTATTCAATGATAAGACATTTTGGAGAAAGCTTAGTCTATGACCATATGTATAGTGACTCTTGGGTGAGAAAACCTGTCTGAAGATCAAATAAGTAGGACATGGCCTGAGCTGCCTTCCAGACATCCTTTCTTTCTTTCAAACTCTTTCTTACAAACTCTCACTCTTAGCCTGGACACTATGAGCTCCTCAGTTGTTCAGACTCTGAGTTTTATAACGTTGCAACTCCAGGAAATAAGTTTGGTTTCAGAACTGATGGCTCCTCTCAGTCAAACATCTTAGTTGCCAACTTGATGTAATAAAGTAAAACCAGCAGCCACTACAGTTCTTACCATCAAAAGCCATGGTTGGTGTCAAAAGCAAATCAGTTTCACTTCTTCTGAGGAAAGCTGCAGTTTCTCCAAGCTCTGACAGATCCATCTTCTTAAAATAAATATTTCAAGAAAGTATAGGCCAAAAAGTGAACTTATAGGATCCACTCTGCAAAATACAGGTTTGAGGAAACAGTAGAAATAAGGAATTGAGATTTGAAATGACAAATCACTTACTATAGATAGATCAAAAAGTTAATATTCTTTTAACAACATGTATTACTATTTATTTTTTCCAGGTCTCCAGTCTATAACACAATTGGACTCTTAACCGGGCCAAGTTATCCTCTAGACATGGAATACATAATACGTAGGACCCACAGTGCTTTTTGGGACCTATGAAAACGTTTTAGTTATTCTTAAGCAAATATCAGAAGAAAAACTTAGATATAATATTACTGACATACTATAAACTGAGCGAAAATTATATTTGTCTTTCTAGGAACACAATTGTAAAATTTATTTTTAAAAATTTTTGGACAAGGGCTGGGGATTTAGCTCAGCGGCATAAGCACTTGCCTTGCAAGTAGGCAGTCGTGAGCTCGATCCCTGGTACCGATAAAAAGGAAAAAGACAAAAAAAAAAATTTTTTTTTGGACAAGACCTAAAACAGAAACAAAAATGCGAGGCCTAGTGAAAGTCATAATGCAATCCTGAGCCACAATAGTCTGACCTGAGTAGAAGCTATAATAAACCAGAATGTGAAATATCAATTTGTGGATTCTTGTTTCCTTGATAGGAATGGAGGAGGAACTTAGTGGTGTCAAAGGTACCTCCAAGTATGCAGAGTATTATCACCAGAATGAGGTGGCAAAGAAGAGAGTATTCAGATAAATGTTAAGTTTATAAAGTGATAAAAAGATAACCATCCTTACTCAGATGTGAATTACTGTAAAGTAGGTGGGCAGATGGGCATTTAGGAAGATACAAAGAGCAAGAGTGAGGAAGCGCAGGCTATCTTGGAGGTGAGAAGCAGGTTTTAGGGTGAAGAAGGCAGAGCAGGTATAAATAATAGTGTTCATAGTTTCTGGCAAGTATTGGAAAGACAGAGTTACTGGGAAAACGAAACTGAATTCACTGAGCATCCACTCTGTCCCAAACACTTTTTAATTATTGCTAATTTTCACACTTTATCTTTGGTAACAAGGAGAAGAAGTGGGAAATAGGCAATTGTGATCCCAAATTCAAGCTCATATTTTTTATGTTGACAAAAAGTCTTCCTCTGCACCCAGGTATACATGTAGTACTAGCCCCATGTACAGATGAAAAGGTAGAAAGCGACTCACCAGGTCTGTTTAGCTGCAGTGCAGACTTAAGAACTGACGAGCAGTATGTTCTACCTACTGCGGAATGAACTATGACAACATTCTACCCCCCTGTCTTGTTGACAGGTGACAATGGGTAAGCCTTTGATATCATAACAATACCAGAATTAATAATCTGGTTCATTTTATCTCACTTAACCTATTCTGTTCTGTATTACACTTAACCCATTCTGTTCTGTATGTAGTGATACAATTTTGAGAATCTAATTAGCGGAGTGTGATTTAGAGCAAGGACTAGTTTGTTAGGCTCAATGCTAGTTTTATCTTTGCCACACAATAGGCATAAGCCTTATAGGAAACTAACTAAGCTTTGTAGGGCCAATTTCTTCACCTGCAACTCAAGTATAAGGCATGATGGACAGGGACACTTTCTGACATGGAGCAGAGAAAAGATCTAGAAAAACAACATAAGCAAGGTCCAGAGATGGGTCTAAGGGTGGTATTTCTTGAGAGAAAAAAGTGAAACTTTGTGTAGGTAAGATTTAAGTCTGCAATTATAAAAATGATAAAATGCATAACAACTTTAGACATTTGAATAGATAGAATGGAGCATGATTTTTAAAAAATCTCTGAAAGTTAGCTGGAGGAATTTGGAAATAGATTATGGAAAACAGCATAAATTCTTTGATCAAGAACATGTGGAAATCAGTTATTTTTGGAAAATAGCTAAAGTAATTTATCTGGGTAGAGTGCGACAGTGAGAAGCCATAGTCAGAGATACAAGTTGCAAGCTCAAATTTTTTACAGATTGAACTAAATCTAATTGCGCCCTTAGGTGTGACTTCGTGGTAGTTTGCGTTCAGTAGGCAGTAGCATTGAGTGAGTATATTTGGGATACTGAAGATATCTATAAACATTTGTGTGCAAATGTGTGTACGAATTTCCTAGAAAGATACCTGAGGAAACAATGTCTCTGGGAGTGAAAACAAAAGCTGGGTGACAGAAGAGAAGCCTGATCTTGAAGAAGCCTGAAGTCAATTCCATGTAACCTGGATTCTCTTATGAGTATGATGTCCACATGTCAAGACTCACAGTTCACCATTTTGAGAAGTAACTTCAGATAGAGATTTTTTAAAAATAAGAGTGGCTTCTGGTTATCATGTTCTTTCACAAACTCTTCTCCCTCATCATTCTCTCACTATCACACTAGTGGAAGGGTCTCCTCCTTCACCCTCCTTGTTTCTCAACATAGATCTCTTGGAATTATCTCTAAATCCTCCCTTTGCCTCTTTCTCACCTTAAATTAATTACCAGTACCTATTGATTATATAATTACTAATTATTTTTAAATTTTATCTTTATTAGTGCATATTTGCAGTACACAATGAGTACATTCATTGTAGGTGCTGTTACATGTACATGGCACATCTTAATTATTTTTATATGTCCTCCCTCCTCCTTCTCTTGATCCTCTTCCTATTGCAAAAGATCTACCCCTGTGTTTTCTATAATCTGTCTTTTTATTTTGCTCTTTATTTATACTTTGGCTTTTAGATATAAGAGAGATCACATGGTAAATATTAAGATGTGTTTGTATATCTGATTTTCACTTAACATTATGGGTCCACTTTCTCATCCAGGTTTAGCGAGTACTGTGTAGAATACGTGCTGAGCCCTTACTCTCTTGTAAAGCATGCTGGTCTCATAAGCATGAGCCCCATCATGTCTATAATTTGAAATGAGAGTCCTGACACACCTGATTAGCCAGGGTTTGAGTGCCTGATCCAAACACGAACAATCAGAGGGTTTCCTGGGATATAGATTCGGGAATTAGGTGCCACTCTCAGTCTAGGCTCTTTAGGCTAACTGGAGTGATGCTAACCTAAGGCTAAAATGATGGTGTGATCCTGTGGCACTACCTGCACAGTAATTAGCAAAGCATCAATAGATAGAAATGTACTAGCATATGAAGAAACTGCAAGGACAGAGGGAAGGAAAAAAGAAGGGAAAGAGGGAGAGAGAGACAGGGGAAAGAAAAGAGAAAAGGATGAATTACTTATATATTATTTATGTCTCAAATAGCTCTCCTGGTAACAGTAAATGCTAAAACTTGGAACCAATTCTTGACATTGGTTTCTATAAAATATTTTTAAAATCTCCCAATCACTTTCCATTTCATCCTCAGCTTCAAATGATCTTGAATGAGTTTCCCTCATCTGTCATCAAAATATGTTTAATGAACACATTATGGCTCGGTGATGATGTGATTATTGTATATAAAAGCACACTCTCTGGTGCATAGTAAAATTTCAATCAATGTTTACTAATTTTATTATTATTCAACAAACATTTGTGCAGTATTTTATTGCTTTGCAAAATATGTAGGAAGATAGCTTTGTCTTCTAAACTGATTAGTGAATCTGAGATGCACAAAACCGTAATAGAGAACAGTGCCATAGGTAAATGTCTTTAGTTTTTTTTTTTTTGTTATTATTATAATGAATACTACAACCTGGGTAATTTATAGAGAAGAGACGTTTAGTTAGTTCTGGGTTTTGGTGACTGAGAAGTCCAAGAGCCTGGTGCTAGTAACTGTTAGCCTCTGGTGAAAGGCTTCTTGCTAGGTCCTGAAATGGCAAAGAGAATCTAATTTTAAGAGAAAAAGGACACCAGAAGGCCTGCTTTTACAACAAAACTGCTACCTTGATAAGCCATTAATTCATGAATGGATTGTCCAATGTGAAAGCAATCACCATATATATGTCCTACCTCTAAACATCATTAGCATATGCATTTGGAAATTAAATTTCTAACACATAAATTTTGGAGGATAAATTTTAACCACAGCAAGAAGTAAAGAGAGAAAATTACAAAATGACAGCTACACCTGGGTAGAAGGGGATGAGGCAAAGGAGTTATCTCCTTGAAAAGCAATCTCTCCTGGGAGGTCACATTTCCTCTAGTCCTGTCACTGATGACCAGAGTAAACTTATCACTCAGTGACTTGCCTCCTTTGGTCACAGCTAGACAGTAAATTTCTTAGGGAATAGAATTTTATATATTTTAGACTCTTAATAGTAAGCAGAAAATCAATCAATGCCTGTTAGGTAAATTGATAAAAGAGTTAAATTATTTTTATTAGCAGCCACAACAGTTTTTCATGTTGGTTTCATCAGAATTGATTAGATTCCCTTGAACTTCTCATCAAGGTAAGTTACTATGTGTGTTTACTTTCGAACACTTCCATTATTGGGAAACTGTGATGCAAGTAATAAGAAACACTCATATTCTTCCATAAATAAACCCTAATCACCCCTTGACAGAGCTTCTCTCATTATTAAAATAGGAACTAAAGTGCCTAAAAATGAGAATGGATTTCTCCAGATGTCTTCAGAGAAAGAGGAGAGTCACTAAGCGCTCAAATGATTCAAAGCAAGCTAAAACATAAGTCTCAAGGAAGTACATAAAATACATTTGAGTTTCAAGGCCCAGTGCATGCCATAAGTCTGAGAAAATTCAAGAGGCTCTTAATTAAAGGCAATGCTGGGTGCACAAATGATGTTCACGCCTCCTAATAATCACGCTGCTGAGATGACCATGTTATTTATGTTCTTAACTCAGAAAGGTTTTCTCACTAGAAAATTCCCCTTTAGTTTTCATGCACAAATATAGTAGCCTCCAAAGAGCTACAATACCTGCAATCTTTCTATTTGTATGCAGTTTGGATCTTTATAAAAGTAGGTTTATCTCTTTCAAACAAGAAAGTTAAAAATAGAACTGAATCAAGAGTGCTGCATAAATTATTGATTGCATGACATCTTCTTCTGAAATGGTGATTAG